TTGTTATTATTTTCTTGTTTTTATTTGGGCACCTGTAAATGCGACCAAACTTGTTGCATGTTTCGGGGCCTGTCATAAGTGCAAGCGCTTGAACATATTTATGCACTTTGGTGCGCATAGAATTTTGAGACAGCGCCTGGATTCGGCCAGGTGCATGGAAGTATAGTCGAAATCCATGACCCGTCATAAATAAAACTTTCGCTTTTCCATTGTGTAAATAAGCGTGAAAATTGCCCATTAGCGGCTTTGATTTTATAGGCCTAAAACAGTCCAACAGACCCAATTTCTGATACTCAACCTGTTCGCTTGATTTTCACACTTCGCGGCGCTTGCGTAAAGTCCCCTAAAAATTCGAAAAACCGAAATGCTCAGAGCCCTAAAACAATAGAAAATTTTCCAATGAAACTGCTTTTGACACATTTGATGGGTTTTTCATAAGGTTCCAAGAGCACAGAGCTCTGTCATTGCCAGTTGAGTCTATTTAACCCGAAAGCCTGTGAGACCGTTCATAAATTCTCATCAATGGCAAACAGAGTTGGGGGAGTTCCCCAGTGTTTATTTCCGAAACTGTGACTCTGCCCGCTTTTGCTGTCAGATGTCAACTAGCGCCACGCGGCGAACTCAATGAAATCCAATCAAGAAAGTCACGGATAATCTCCCTTTTTTAAGTGAGGAGTGGGGAATGGAACAGAATAAATATTAATAGAAATATAACATTTCATTTTGACAATGGGAGAGTAGTTTCATTGGTACATTTTCTGTACTTAAAAAAAGGAAAACATATATATAGTTTTATGTGTTTAACAACGGATTAAAAAATCCATTAATAACCAGAAAACTCCACAAAGCTGACCTACTATTAGCTAATCTCAATTAAAATACCATAAACTATCCAATCCAAAAATAAATATAATTTTGAATTAAGATAACTTGAAAAACCAGATATATTTAATACGCATTTAATTGTTACTTAAGAAAATATTATTGTTATTACAAGGTACATTAAGATTTTTGCTTTGTTATCTTTTAAGCCAGTAAAGAGGATATTTCTGGTAGAGTACCAAATTTACAAAGTCATCACATTACGGCTCAATTCCCAACCAAATAGAATCATCTAGTCTTTAACAAGCTCTGCTAACTGTGGGGTCTTTGTGGTTTTGCGGTGGACTTTAGTCGTAGTTAGTGGTCATCATCGAAATGCAAAACCTACGCACTATTTTACTAATTTTTCGTCTGTTTTTCTGGTCCGTGGGCTGCATTTTATTTATTTTCGTAGTCAAACGTTCTTTGTTGACCATACAATACAGACGAACCGAATCATTAAACTTATTTGCTTTGTTGTGTGGCTCTTGAATTTGGCTGTTGAACGCCCACGATCGACTGACTGGGAATTGGAATCTGTGAATCTGAAGTGGATGAGGTTGTCCAGTTTCCCAGTTGGCCAGCTGGTTCCAGCAGCTGAAGCTGTGATTACCTTAGCTCTGGCTAATTGAGGAATTAAGTCAAGTAAGTGCAAATGAGGCGTACTCTGGCCACGCCCTAATTGCTCAATTTGCGACGCCTTCGCGCTGCTGCAACGACCTTCGCGTCTGCCACTTAAACTTGACATATAACCGAAAATGTGCAAGGTAGTATCCTTTAAAATTATTGAACAGCTCGCAGCTCGCAACTCACGAGTGCCTTCCACTTTTTCGCATCATGAATGAGTCGCATCGAATTGAAAATGGCAATATATATATGTAAAGGCTATAAAATGTATCCCAATTTCAAGTACGCCGCTTCTCAGCTTGAGTTTCGTATTTTTAGCTCATATTGGAAACACATCGACAGTGCCACATGGAGCTGTAAAGATGTTTTTACCGATTTTAGAAGTCATAAGGTCAATGCTGAGAGCCAAGATCGTGTTTTGATTGCAACTCGAAGCCGGCGACAACGTCGATGTTGCCGCTGTACTGAGATGTTGCGATGTTGCTGCTGTGCTGCTGTGCCTTGTCTGTTGTCAAGTGTTATGAGTCGTTCTGTCTCCTCCGCGACTCCAAAGTCTGTCTGTTTTCTTCGTTTTTTTCCATTTCGTTTTCATTTTAATTTTCTCAAATCGAAAGCTGGAACAAAGCGTCTGTTCTGTATTCAGCTTGGTTCCCAGACGCATTCTCACAGTTTGTGGCATTTTGTTGATAAGGCATCTTATAAGCAACTCAAATGAAGTTGCTCGAATGCAGATTAAACTATTTGAACCAAGAGATCAAGATGTTCTCTAGGGTGGAAGTTATAAATTATGCTATTAGCCTAATGAGACTTTTACCAAGTTTCCATTTTCGTAGCACTTTTATCAGCGGCATTTAGTATTGAGTGCCAAACACTTTCCACAATGGCTGTTTAGTTTAGATTTTTATGTTTATTTATTTTGTGTGCTTTTGTGTATACATCAACATGCAAATTCAATGCGACGATGACGGCTGCCTGCAGCCATAAAAATTCAATAAAAATTTATGAAAACTGTGCAGTCGACAGCAACTGTTGTTGCTTTTCAGATTAGACCTGTGGACGGACACACCCGTTAAAAATGTTGATAGAGAGAAAAAAAAAAACCCAGAGACGACCACTTCGCTGAGCTGCAGCTTCATTTGCTACAATTCGTTACAGGTGGCAGACAGACCAGAAAAATAAAAAATCAGAAATATATATATATGTATATCTGTGTGGAATGACCTTGCGCCTATTGCCACAGATGTGGTAGATGTTTATGCTACGGTAGTTGATCTTCAACTGTTTACTTTGGTAGATCTCCTCAAGCACTTGTCTTGATTTTCCAAGCCAAGTTGGTCAAGTGTCCCACTGCTGATGATCAGGTGACTCTCTTCAGTTCCCCTGCCCAACCCAGTGGGTTTTTCTATTGCAAACTCGAAACAGCCCAGCCCATAAACATGCACTTTGCACAACATTTAATCACATTTAGCCATTCGGCATACGCCCCGTGGGCTACAACATAATTTATACAACAATATTATAATGTCGCGAGACATTGAAAACGCTTGAGAGACGGAGGAGACAGAAAACTTTTGAAATTCGTGAATTATTACTTGCACTTTAACATGGCTGGGAGCGAGGCGATGACGACGGAAATATTTCCACAATGGCAGCGCGGGGCGAGCAATTTGTGGGCATGTGGTTGACATTTTATTGACGACGCCAGTGAGTCGCCACCTGTCCTCCAGAGGGGGCAAGTCATTTGCGCCTGTCAACGCCCCGATTTGTGTGTTTTTGTTTTTTGTTTTGTTTTTCGTGTAACCACAGCACTGTGGCAAGATAAATGGGCAACCGAGTCGCGTTTCAGTCAAATTCTAATTAGACTCCCTCCATTAGTTATGGGCGGGTTCATTAACATTTCGGCTGGCTGGACCATTTCCATTCGAAATCTGAATTCGATTCCCAGGCAGCTCCCTTTTAGCCAGCTTTTCAACAACTCAATTGGCTTTTACGTGGCTGCTGTTTTGCAATAAATAGCAACAATAATGTGATGTCCAGCACTACGGCTGGTTGGGCTAATGGAACCAGTTTAGAGATAAGCATTATTAATTTATCGTCCTATCACTCTCCGATGCTGCCCGTGTGTGTGCGGGTGTTGTACTAAATTATCTAGAGCCCATTGGCAGCGCGCTTGGCCTGTTCACACTAGTAGGCAAAAAATTGTGAATTAACTAAGTTAGGTTTAAGAAAAGGAAAAGTATTTACTTTTAAACGAAAGACAGCCACCCTTCGATTAGTAGACTGAATAGTTAAAAGATCAAATGTTAAACAAAATCCTATTAAAACTAATAATAAAACTGAAAAACATTTATCTGTCACAATAATCTGTGCCATTTCGCAATGCCCTGGCAAAATTCCCTGTTTTTTATCATGTGTATCACAAAAACAAAAATGAATGGCTTAAAGAGTGAAATTTACATAGTTTAACTATGAGATTACTATCATTTTGCTAATTGGAAAAGCTCATAGCCCAGTTGTGTGACACAGTGTAGATCTACTTAAGACGAAGTTCCAATGAGAAAGCCAAGCAGAGAACAAGATACAGAGTGGCAAATGTATCTGTGTTTTGATTGAGAACTTGTTTTTTGTTTTTCTCCAGAGAATTCACCATCCACTCGAGTCGGGCACTTTGCGGGAATTATCGGAAATATCATGTTAAGTGACGACCGACAATAAGGCATATCGCAAGGATGTCACATTGTGATGTCTGTCCATTAATTTGATGTCGTTGTATGTGATTTCATTAGCCGATCCCACAGCCGACGTATCTCGGCATTTTAAAAAGTCAACTCAATGAGAATACAAAAATAAAAAATAAAACAATAGCTATAACATGAGCATTTAGCGCACACACACAAATTATAATTTCAAATAACGCAAAGTGCCACTCGAGATCAGAGCTCTTAACAAAAATGTTAAGCATTTTATCGGCTTTTTTGTATTTTAATGAAAAATCGCATTTTAATATGCGGGAACCTAAATGACAGACTTTGTCGGCAGTTTAGACGGCGACTAATCGAAAGTATCGACTGCTTCGAGTGTAAACAAATTAACGAGATCGTTTGCTCGTAATTGAGATGCCGATGCCGATGCCGATGCCGATCTAGAAGGCGGAACCCACCGCCATTGCCAAAGGTTGCCTTTGATCATGCCTCCAAAACGTAATCCTAAAATTGAAAATCAAAAAACCGAACAAAATTCCAAATCTGTTACGCCCCCCATGGCATTTTGTCTCGACAAATTAATTTATGACAATTGCAGCCCGAGGCCTAGAAACTCGATCGTAAATTAATTAAATCTGTATTGGAGGGACGTGGGGTTTTCCAAAGGCCCACAAGATATGGAACAACGCGTGACAGGGCGACAATTGAAGGGCCTAGGTCCCCGAAAATGCAATCACAGCTTGAACCCCATTTCCACCCAGTAACCACTGAATAACTAACTGAATTTTCCAACTTTTTCCTTCCTTTCAGATTCAGAGCACGAGGAACGTTCGGCATGACGTGAACTGCTTAGATATTCCATGCGAGAACCGAAACCTTTGCAACTAGCCGCCAACCCAATCGATCGTCTCGCTTCGATTCGATCCGATTGCCCCCGAAAAGCGTCCGTTTTGGGGACGTGATCAGTCCCGAGAAGAGAACCCTCCAAAAATCTAGAACCAAATAGAAAAACCCGCCACGCCATGGACTCACGCATCGGCCTGGACTACATTGTCGAGAATCGTGACTACATTGCCAAGCTAGGCGCTGCCCTGGACACGCAGAATGCCACTGTCAAGAAGCAGGTCTTCGAGCTGCTCTCGGCGCTGTGCGCCTACAGCCCCGATGGCTATGCGCGTGCCATTGAAACCCTAGAATTTTACAAGGTAAGTTGGTTACGCTTTTGATTTTTAATCGGTTTTTATGTTATAAATTGATTAACACAAGACGCACAGCTAATATAATGAATAACCAAAACCTAGGATCCCTTCTGCATTCAGGCGGAAAGCTGAACGAGATATGAAATTCCATATTCCGACTATTTTAGGCTAAGTTATGGACTTAATGCTTTCATTTTAGGGAGTAAATCTGAGATAACAAATTTTCACATTTTCCCTATGGGATAATAAAATCTTCTTTTTTGCAAAAAAAGTAAAAAATTTGACATTTTAAACTGTGAATATAGTTCGAACAAGAATTCAAAAACAAACTCAACGAGGTATGGCATTCCACATTCCGACCAATTTTTGGCTTTGTTATCGACAAAATACTAAACCTTTAGAGGGAAAATCAGTATATTTCTAACGGCTTTTAAGTTCCATCTTTATCAAAACAAGACGCACAAAAAAGAAAGCGAAGATACATATATTAATTTAAATTTGTAACGAAACCTACCTTAAATTAAATTAAATTTTATATAGTAATAAATAAAATAAGTAATCCAATCCAATCCTTTACAGAATCTCAAAAAGCAGCGATACCGCTTCAAGATTGTCATCAACGAACTGGAGCTGTCGAGTGCCGCTGCACAGCCGCCCCTGGATTACCAAGCCGCCTTGCTGGCCTTCATTAACTGCGTTATCATTTCTGCGGCCACTTTACAGGAGCGGATCCGCATCCGGAACGAATTTATAGGTGAGAGCTATTCCCATCCATCCAAAGTCAAAGAAGTTAAGAAAAAACAGTCATAATTCGCAACAATGGAGATAAACCCGCAAAAGTCAACGGGTTGTTCCCCCACGATTGTTTGTGCCATTGGTGCTGTCTTCGATTTCGATTGATTTGATTGATGTGCCCGCTGATCCAGTGCCAGTGCCCTTGACCGTATGTGCCCGGCTGTCTGTTTGGCCAATATACGAGTATATAGACAGATATACAAAATATACTGTTTGCATGTCGCAGAGACTCAAGTCACCCGGTTTTCATATTTCAGGCAGCCACACCAGCGACCCTCAGGGGCTGCTCGTTGACTTGAGGTTAGATAATGATAGGTTCGAAGAGCCCAAAATGCCAAATCGCCTTTGTCGACGCCGAGTAACCTTAGCACGTGCCGGCGATTTAGAGGCGCGTCTTTAAGCCAGTAATTGCTCGTCGAGTCATTTGAACTGGATCTGGGAAAATCGGTCAAACGAACATTGTTTATTTATTGCTGATTTATTAATTTTGGCAAAAGTTGTCGGGTCATTGAGGACATTTTCATACCAAACAAAGATTTTGAAAGTGAGATCGTTTATTTGCTAGCTAACTGCAAGACTTTTTAATGCTCATTTACACCTTAATGACACTTGAAAATAACATTAAATGGATCTCAATGATTTTTGTTGATCTACTTTTGATTGTAGTTTTTAACCTACATATTTATTTTATGTTATTCAATTACATAGAGATAGCCGGTTCAATACCAGCAAACCATCTTAATTTAGTTTTCAAGAATGAATGAATTTTTCTAAAAACTTTATAATGACAACCCCCAGAAGAACATTAAAACCTAAATGGTTGTTTGGTCCGAGTTCTATGATAGTTTCAGAGTTGTAAGACAAAGGGATAAATCGATGAAACGTGACAATTTTTTGGGCAGTTGGCATAGATTATGTTTTGCTTATTTATGTCGATAGTGTTGAACATCAAATCGTGTTTGTACTTAGATTTTTAATATGTTTTGAACGTGCCACAAGACATCTACAACATCGCTAAACCCCTTTGTATCTGCCTCATATACAGATGAGTTCCAAGAGGAGAATAAGCGCCCAATAAACAAAACGTACTTAATATGTAACAAGAAGTCTGTTGACAAACAAGGGACACATTTACATCCTGTCAGAGGCAGATGCTACTACCCCCTTCATTGACCCTCGTCGAGGGCTCTGGGTCCCAAGTTGTTCAAAGTTCATGAACTGCCTCCGAACTCCACCAACCCCGAATTCGACCTTCATCTTCTATAGATTTTCCACTACAGTTGGGTATCCCTGGAAAGAACTTCCTCTTCCTATACCATCATTAAAAGTTATTTTTAATAATATGTTAAATAAGATAGAAGAATTATAAAGAGCTTTAATTTATAAAAATCACCTAATATTTAAGGGGCCAGAAGTTTTTTGTTTTAGTCAAATTCCACTGTACTTGGCAGTCGTCAACCCGACATTCTGACTTTGATTGAGCGCGGTTGTGCGTGCGTGGTGGCTGTTGTTTTCGATGTTTCCTTCTGCGCAAACGCAGCACCACCAAAATGTGTTGCATTGAATGCCTGTGGATGCACTCGCCTGAAAGCGGGGGGAAAGGGGAACGGATGGGTAACTTTACTGAGAAGCGGCGTTTTTATTGTTCTTAATTAAAATAAATTGAGCTGCGCTTTTTCAGCATTACAAGAACCCAGTGACAAAGCAAAGAAGTAGCAAGACAAATTCGAAATCTCAACGACTGTTGACAAAATGTAAGTCACGCCCCTCCGCCACAACTTCGATTCCGATTGAGCAAACCGATTCCTCCTGGGGCATTCCTGAACGACACATTTGACAAGCAACGGCCGCATTTTGTTTGGCAATGAAACGAAGTATTCAGTTTCAAGGCTGTTGGCCCGACTTTGACTTTGTCTTCAGCCATTTCAGTTTCAGTTCTTTTCAGATTTTTCTGCTCTCTGTTTGGATTTCCAGGAACGGCAACCAAACAACGCCCCGCAAATATTTGCATTTTTCAATTCAAAAACTCTGCGAGGCTCTCGCTAATGCCACTTAAGTGCCCAATTATCGGTTCGGAATCATTCCCATTCTCCAACTGACTACCCAGCCATATAGCCATCATATCTGCTGTATGTCATCTGTCAGGCTGGGAGGCATTTGCTTGTGCCTGATTTATGCCCCCATGATTTTCCACTTTGGCACGCAACAGTTTTTCCCATAGTCGACCATAAATTTGTATTTGCACAAACGGTTTTGCTGGCAAAATTCAATTTTCAATTGATTTATAAATCATCAACAGATTTACCGAGTATATTGAGTGAAATATTTAAATCGTTTGGCGAGAATTGATTTTCGAGTTGTTGAGTTCCTTTGCCTGGCATGTTATTAAACAATTAATTGTGGACTTGGGCGTGTCCCCGATCTCAACTATTGTTTTGTGTACATAAATCCCCGCTCTTTTGGCTGCAGGGCATAGATGGTCGAGCTTGGCCAATCGCCAATCGATCGACCTCTACCTAGAACAAAAACCCAAGAGGGTAATATAATATAAATTTGCCAATGGATAGAAATACTTGTATATGTATATGGTAGGGGTATTGATCATTGCGATTTCTCCTTCTAGTTAAGATCTCTCAACTTCCGAATATCCAAAAATGAAAAAACACAAAGATCTGGACAAAGAAACTTTTACTATACACTCACACACAGAATCGCACACACGCATTTTAATTGTACGCCTTTTATGGATTTCAATTTCAAACAAATAAAATGACAGCGGAGCGAAGTCGTAAAACGAAATTATGAACGTCAAGGCGCCAAATAAGGCGGATCGATGGGGATCTGAGGGACATGTAGTACAGAAGCGACAACGACTTTCACGAGCTTTTCGTAATTAATTTTTTTTATTGTTATTATTATTATTACTTATTTATTTGTATTTACAACTCACGGATAGAAGTGTGCCTCTGTGTTTGGGTGCATAAATTGATTGGTGAGTGCGCCAATAAAAGCAAAAAGGCGAAAAAACGAGCTTGACCGGAAGTCGGTCGGGATTCATTGGACATTGGGCGGGCCTTAGTTGACTTGCTGTCTATGGAAATCCCGCTTGTCCAAGGGGCAACGAATCATCTCCACATTACTCACAGGCAGCCAAGAGGCGAAACAATTGAAATAACCCATAAAGTTCAGATATATATATGAGTTATGAATATTCTGCAGGTTAAGGCTTCTGTTACTTAGAATAAAATACAATGAAAAACACAATAAAGCACTTAAATGGCAAATTCTTAACATTTTAATAGTTATTTCATGACTTTCCATTTATTAAACTCAGAATTTTATATCCATGATAAACCTTTTTTTCACCAGTTAAGAGTTCTTTCACAACACCTCCCTCAATTAATAATTTTCTCCTTTGTCTTGCAGGTCTCAAAGTTTTGCCGCTGCTCAATAACCTAAGGTGAGTGTTGAAGTGCATCAATCAGGAGGACAGTCAATAAAAACCCAAAGACGATTTGCTGAGGGCGTCGTTGATATTCCAAATCAAGCGTGTGAAGACCGCTTCGAGTTGGGTGAAAAACCCTGAAAGTCTCCCACAATTAAGCAAATGAGTATCACAAACAGTTTAACGATTGCCGTTTGCCGACTTTTATGCTTTATTCGAATCGGACGCACATTTAATTTGCATGCGACTTCATGAGGAGACGACCAACAAGACAAGATCAAGGTTTCGACGGATTTTCAGTGGGTTTTTGATTATCTGCAAAAGAAATAAAAGAAAAAAGGCTGGGAGGAGGAGGATCTGGGGGCGAATCGCTAATGACCGCTCAAGACGCCGCTGGGATGCTTGTCAAATATTCATCAAACTGGAGGAGATGTACGATCGCGTCTTATGCAAATAATTTGCGCCGCATTCGAGTCAACCAATTAATTCAATATTTAATTAGTCAACAATAAATCAATTAGTCGGATCTCCTCACCCTTCAAAACGGGTTTATTTATGGCCCTCCGGTTGACAAATTTGTGGCTCTGTGCCGTCGGGCTCTCAAAAACAAGAGAAACTAGCAAATTCAATTAATTTCTTAAATAGTTCAAGCCCAAAAGCGAACAATAACAAACAAGCTGTCCGCATTGGCAGATTCCTCAGCATGTCAGTTCGGAGCATAGTTGACTAATTGATTGTCCCGGGCCATTCATCTTGTGGCATTTTTCCGTTCTCTGGTGTGAGGAGGAGGACCCCCGTCAGTTCTATTGTTATTAAAATTTTAACGCGCACACAGATCAACAAAATGCGTAGTTTCTGGCGCTATTTAATTTATTTGGAATTTGTTTTTTGAATCGCTTTAAACGTTTTCATTCAGCCAAAACGCGCTTTGATTTGAGACCGCGGGGTGGAGGAACCCATTGAGATTCATTCGAATCTTGACTCTGCGTAGCTTGGAAGCTGCCCAGTTGCTTTAAGCGGCTTTTAATTGTTCTCCACATAATGTGTTCTAATCGAATCGAAATCCGAATCTAAGTTGTTTATCTACCAGAGAATGATGGATGTGCGCTAGTATCGAATTACCGCCAAACTCATAAATGTCTTCTAAAAATAAACTCCTAAAGTATCGCATTTCAGGGGGATTATCAGAACCGTGTCAAGAATAGACATTTTCAATTGATGAGGTATTTTAATGGGGAGTGTGAAGAAGTCGGAAATTGAATTGGAAACAATATTCTTAAGATCAAGGCACTTCAACTTTGGAAATTGACGTTCTTTTATTTACATAAAGGTTTGAGATGAAATTCTGGTCTGAGCAGGTTTTTATGGTAGCTAATGGAAGGCACTTCTTACTACAATTTAAAATTTAAAATTCCCCATACTTTTTAAAGTATATCCCCCAAACGGTAGCTTTAACTACTTCTCATTTGGTTAGTCGATGCTTCCGTTTAAAGTTTTGTAATTTGGCTTTTGGATTGCCCAATTTCCTTGGCCCCACAAACGAGCCCCCGCAAAAACTCCCTGAACCCATGTAACAACTTCCGTGACGGACCAAAATAGAAACTGGTGGCCAAAACAACAAAACAATGAAGAGAATCACGTGCAAGTGTCCGGGTGTCCAAATGGTGCCCGATGGTTGTTGACGAAGTTGCTCGACAAAATAAAAAGAGGCCGCTGCCGCCGCCTGGCGCTTCGCAAATACTGTGGAAAACTCCTGCGCGCGCAGCACGTGGCCGCCAAAAACAACAAGGACTCGGATTTGGCTACGAGGCTCTCCGTGCCGCCAAATCGCCAAGTCGTGGCCATAGCTCAAATATGAATCGTGCCAGGCTGTCTCGTCCTCGTTATTGCCATTCTGGCCGTTCTCTCGTTCGAACCGCAAAAGCGATTTTGGCAGCAATTAAACAAAAAAAAATACAAAAAATAAGTGCCAGTCGATGTATGGATATCAATTGTCAAAAGGCCAAAAACGGAGCTGCCAGCAAGGACATTGCGCAAGGCTAACGATTTTGCACGCCGCTCAAAATGGTGTGCCTGTAAAGGAAGAATTTTGATTGCCAAGGCTGAGCCAGGCAGGCAGGCAACGTGGAGTCGTCAGCATCGCCCTCACCGCCGCCATCCCTCTCAACGGAGTCCGCTTCCACGGCGACGTCATCCGTTTCTGCTTCCGCTTCCGTGACGCCATCGCCATCGCCAGTGCCATCGCCGTTGCACCTGCAGCGGCGGGTGACATTTTGCGGCTCGCTGTCCCGTTACAGCTGCGCCGCCTTGCAACTAGTGCAGAATCTGAAGTGAGTCGCTCGGAGATTCTCTTCCTTTATTTTTTCTCTGGCAGCCTCCGGAGGTTACTCAATGTCAGCCATGAAGTTTGTTGTTCTCTATCGATTCTGGCAACCATCAACTACTTGTAGACGTACCCCTGCCCTTTCTTGTCGACCATAAATACGAGATACATTTATTTATTCCCATTTATCGTAAAAACAAATGCATAAATAAAAAATCAATTAAAACGCAGTGAGAATTGTCAACGACATGCAAAATACGAAACCTACAACCTACAAATTGACAACTATAACTAGCTTGAATAATTAGAGCGGACTTATGGACAGAATCAATATCAGATCTTAACCCATTATTAACCTGTGTGGTTTGCTTTATCATTACAGAAAAGTCGCACAAAGTGTGGGCGATATCATCGTACAATTGGACGTATTCGTGGAGCAGCAGGAATGCGACGAGGCCCAGAGCCTTCAGGCGCCCGATGGCATCAATCTCAATTCGCATCTTGATGTCTTCTACGCGATTCTGCGACAGGTGAGCGCTTTAATTTGCAACAATGCAACCAAGCGAATGCGTAATGTTCGGCAATGAAACGAACATTACGTATACGCATATTGGTCGTTAGGACTTGACCAAGGCTATGGCCATGCCTGCAGAGCAAGGACAAAATTTGAATGCTAATGATGTCCACGAAGAAGAATAATTTTCCTGTGTACCAACTTTTGTAATGAAGAACATGAAAACTAATTTATGTATATTCTTTCAACTTGTTTTTTAAACAAATGTTTTTTCTCTTAAAATTAAACAACTTTTTTTTACTTTTTCAGGTGGCTGATACGCCGCAGGAAGTGCCATTCCTTAATATTCTGCAGCACCTGCTGCGCATCGATCCCAAGGAGCCGCTTAGCGACATCATCTGGGATACCACAGAGCGGTTGGTCCATCGCGCCACGCTCCTCGAAAGTCATGAGGATTCGGTGCGTCTGCTACGCACGCCCAGTAGCCAGAAGTTCGCCTGCCAGAGTTGTCGGGGAAGCGATGCCAGCAGCCCCACCCGCAAACCCTCCCAGCCGGTGGGCGCGGCGGCTAAGACGACGCCGCCACCACCCCCACCACCGGCGCCCATGGCACCCGCAGCACCACCCCCCCCGCCTCCGCCGTTAAATGGCCTAACACCACCACCTCCGCCGCCGCCCATGATCAATGGCGGCGCATTGCCCCCTCCACCGCCTCCGCCTTCGATGCAAATGGCATCACGACCTAGGACTCCAGATCCTTTGGCCGCAGAGACAGTGGCCACTGTCATATTGCTACCACAGCAGGACACTCCAGCTCCCAAGGCCAAGATGAAGACTATCAACTGGGGAAAAATTCCGCACACCAAGGTCCTTGGCAAACAAAACATCTGGAGCATCGTGGCTAGCAATCATCAGGACAGCCCGATGCAGGACATCGACTGGAACGAGATGGAGGGACTCTTCTGCCTGCAAACAGCCAGTGCGCAGGGATCACCGAAATTGGGACGAGATGGTAACCAAGCATCCTCTGGTTCCAATGGTTGCGACACCTTAGACCGAAAATCGAAGAAGGAAAGCACGGAGATCACTCTGCTCGATGGCAAAAGGAGTCTGAATGTGAACATATTCCTAAAGCAATTCCGCACCAGCAACGACGACATCATCCAGTTAATAAGGCAAGGCGCCCACGAGGAGATCGGAGCGGAAAGACTAAGGGGCCTACTGAAAATAATGCCCGAGGTGGATGAGCTGGACATGCTGAAGGGTTTCAATGGGGACAAGGCACGACTAGGTAATGCCGAGAAGTTCCTTTTACAGCTGCTAGAGGTTCCCAAGTGAGTATTTAATTATTACGAGTGATTCTAAGTTAATCATCAATTTAATATTCTTTTCCTAGCTACAAATTGCGCATTGAGAGCATGTTGCTCATGGAGGAGTTCGCGGCGAATGTGGCCTATCTGGAGCCTTGTATTAATGCCATGCTGTACGCTGGCGATGAACTGCTCAATAACAAGACCCTTCAAGAGGTCCTCTACATGGTTGTTGTGGCTGGAAATTTCCTTAACTCCGGCGGATATGCGGGCAATGCTGCCGGCGTTAAGCTATCCTCACTGCAAAAACTTACAGACATCCGTGCGAATAAGCCAGGCATGAATCTGATTCACTTTGTGGCCCTCCAGGCGGAAAAACGAAATCCCGAGTTGCTGCAATTCACAGGACAACTAAGCACCCTTGAAAGTGCTAGCAAGTAAGTCAGCGGAGGATCCTGTAAGAATCTATTATTCATTCAAAATATTATTCCTTAGAACAACCTCAGAGCAGATCAACAATGAAATCAACACCTTGGACGGCAGGATCAGGAGAATAGCCAGGCAAATCGAACAGCCAGCAACGGATGCAGATATCAAAGATCAAATGGCCGACTTCCTGCAGGCCGCTGAATCGGAATTAACTGTTCTGCAATCGGGAATGAAACAAGTTGAGTCCATGCGGCTCAAAATGTCCGAGTTCTTCTGCGATGATGCAGCCACCTTCCGGCTGGAGGAGTGCTTTAAGATCTTCCAGAATTTCTGTGATAAGTTCAAGCAGGCTGTCAAGGAAAACGAGCGCCGTCAACAGCAGGAGCAGCAGGCAACTTTAAGACGAAAGCAGCGCGAGGAGCAACTGGCCCGCAGAGCCAGGCAGAGTAAGTGGCTCATATATGGTCAGAGGAAGCTAATATTTATTTAACTCTAAATCCAACCCACAGTTGGTCAAGCTGGAACACCGGTCTCCGATTCGGAGCACTCCTTCCTCGGCGATGCTCTTTTCGATCCTCGGGCTAGTCCGGCGTTGAGTCGCAGGCATTTGGGATCCGGAGAGATCAGCAATGGTTTCATCCGCCTTGAACAGGACGGTGCCTCTCCGGACATCACACCCAATGGCAGTTTAAGACGCCGGCGTAGTCGAGTTTTGGCCGAGGAGGATGACCTGATGGAGTTCTTGAGGAGCTCGACCGGCCCTCACGATGGACACAACAGCAGGGAGCGTAAGGCAGCCTACGGCAGTTTGGATCGCTCGTGGGCCCGACGTGCCCGTTCAGGAAGTTCCAGTCGAAAGCGTCCCGATTTGCTCAACATTGACTTTGGCCTGGATCGGGAAAGGGCCAGCTCGCCGGCTCCTCTTCTCCAGCAGCAACAACAGCAGGCGCATGAGCGACTCCAATCTCCGTTGGCCAGTGCAGCTGGCACGCCTACAACAGCAGCAAATACGCCCACTGGCAGTGGATCGGCGATTGGCCAGACGCCGCCCATCAACGAGGATGCGAAACCAAGGTTATAGAGCAAAAATAAACTTTAAATCTTTAAGTTTTTATATTGAATTTGATTGCCTATCTGAGCTAGTTTAACACTGTTATTAAACATCATATTCTTACCTTTCCAGAATATCCCGTGAGTGGCGCCAGAAAATCGAGACCTGGCTGCAATCCAACGAAAGCGACGAGAAGCAGAACGAGGAGTACAGGCGCAAGCGTCGTCTGGTCAACGCCAACAGGCGATCGCTCGAAAACGAAACTGGTGAGATAACCCCAACAATCAAATTATTAGATATCCAAGATATAACCCATATCTATTCACAGAAAACGAACGAAAACTGGACCCCTTGCCGGAGGAGAAGATACTGCCTTCGACGACGACAGCTACGCCAACGAACACGCCCACGACCACTAATCCCAATAACTCCACTAACAGAACGGATCAGGATTCTGGAAAATACCAGCGAGTCTACGCCGACTGGAAGCCCTCAAAGACGCTCGAGCAGACGGATGTAGTGGCCAACCTGCAGGCCATTGCCGATGCCCAGCCGCACGATTCACTGCGTCAGTATCGCCGCCAGCGATCTCAAGACCAGTCCAGTCCCTTAGCTCTTCAATCGATAGCTGAAGAAGATAGGCGGAAATCATTAATACAAAAAATGGGCGAAAGGGACATAAGCAACGAGCGGTTGCAGGTATACATTAGAAGATCTGCGAGCAGGGACCTACAGACTGTGAAACCGGAGGAGCAGCTATTGCCGCCGAAGTCACCAAAATCACAGGTTTCCGATGACACATTTGCCAGCCTGCTAAGTCACCACAAAAGCCAGAACGAGATGCAGGCCTCCTCCAAAGAAGTGGATGCGGATAATATCGAAACACCCCCAGTTAGTCGTCGGGTGATTGCCACGCCCACCACTACAGTGGTCACTGTGAGCATGACGAATAAGCCAAAGGTGGTCACGGAGGAAAAAGTAAACTCAGCGGAGCAGGATGCCCCTGGTCACTTTGATCGCCATGCCTTGGCCCGACGGACACGTCGCTACAAGAGGCCTACTGACTACAGCAGTGGAAATGAGGAGCTTCTGACCACCAACACACAAGAGTTGAAAACTTCGCCTTCGAAACCAGAACCACCTCCGCCTGAGAAATCCAAGCAGAAGGAGCGTACGATTAACAAACTGGAAAAGGTTGGTCGCCACATAAGCTCCATTAACCAGGAAGATGTCAGGGAAGCTATCAGAAATCTTAAATCGCCCACGGGAACACCAGAGCGACCTTGGAGTCCACCGCGAGAGATAACGCCTTCCAAGATGAAGCTCTCCGCCAGTGGTCACCATGAACTGAATGATGAAGGCTTTGAGGAGACCCAGAGTCTGGTATCGGACACTCCCTCCCATGGAAAGGGTGAGAGCACCAATTCCTCCTGCAACGAGGGTGTCAGCGAGACACCCGCCCGTCAGCGTCCGTTGCAGAAACAGAAACCCACGACGACCAGCATCACCCAAATAGGCAGTCGCCTGGCCGATCGCTTGCAGCAGGCCAGATTGAAGGGCTCAGGATCTTCAGGATCGACAGTCAGCAAGTCACAAAACCAAATCCCTGCCACTCAACCGGCAACCGTCAAGAGGAGTCTGTCCGCAAGCAGACCACTGCGCATGCCCAACGGTCAGCCGTTGGCTAGTGCTGCACCGCTGCGATCCGCATCTGCAGTAAGACGCTCGCCGCAGGAACAACAGGTTCTTGCGGGAGTGGAACGAAGCAGTTCGAGGAACAGCCTGCGATCCTCGCGATCGTCTATTAACAGTGGAGCCTCAACGCAAACAGTGGTCAGACGTCTGCCAGCCGTCCAGCGTGCGGGAGCCACAGTATCCGTTGACTCCTCTCCCAGTAAGAGACCACTGGCTGCCCAGAATCTGCGGCCTACGCAAGGACGTGGAGTACCGGCCAGCAGAAGCAGCAGCAGTGGCTCCAGTGTAGGACCCAGTGTGATCCTGGTGCGCAGCAAGATGTCTACCACTGCTCCAAAATCGAGTATCAACGGCAGCACCAGTTTCAAAGAGAATCAGTCCCAGTCCCAACCACAGTCCCAGTCCCGGATGAGTGCTGCTCGCAGTGTAGTGTTGGTGAAGAATGCCCTGAATCAGCAGCAGCAAGCCAGGATGAATGGAAACCCGAGTCCCCAGCAGAGGAGTACCAGTAGCAGTCGATCTGTAAGCAGCTTTATGCGACCTACGGCCAGCAGTGCCACCAAGCGCCAGAAGTAGGATCACAGGGTTCAGTACAGTCCTCGTCCAAGTTAACGTCCCAAGTTTACACATGTTACAAACGCATCCAAGCCGTCCAAGCGACAATTTCGAATTTCTAAGCAGGATCTGAAACACAAATCAACACACATATAATTGTTACAGTTGAAATATTTTGAGAAGTTATACAAATCTAATGAATTCCCTGCACATTCCAACTGAAGGTCCGCGAATCCTTAATACAAAAGACAAAATCTTTCAAATTCTTAAATATATTTGATCACAAAAAAAAAAAAAAAAAGACAAAAATACTAGCATGTACTACTCAACTAAAACTTAGATTAAGTTAAAAAAATGTTAAACTCGTATTTTCCATATTTAACATATAGTTGTAGGCATTATTCGATTATATGATCACGTTAGGAGACTTTTTTATAGAAGCGCGTTGTTTACAAAGTGTGTAGTTGAAGAAACCAAAACGACAATTACAAATCTTTAAAATAAAAAAACATAAGCTTTAATCTTCATAATAAATAAACTAGATAACTACGATCAACTAATTCAACTAAGCAGCTAGGCCATCCAGCGAGTCCAACAGCTCCCGCTGTAGCTCTTCCTGAGGCATGGCGGTGGTATTCACATAATTATCCTTGTCAAACCACTCCCTGTGGTTCTCTAAGTAGCTGCAAACAAAACAGATTAGTTTTCTTATGGGTCAGTAAGATCTCAGACTTACTTAATGAAGGAGTCGAGGTGGGGAAGTAAATCTTCAAGCTTCTTATTGCTTATCGGCGAGGCATTTAAAAATATTGGCATTTTTACTGAAAGTAGATTTGATTTAATAATGCTGAAAGGATGCTATGGGATAATACCTACACATCAGTCTAGCCAAGTGGGGAGCGCCAAAGACCATGGACTTTTCGGGTGGAGATTCTGCTGTTAGCATTCTCCACTTGAATGTTTCGTTAAGGAATCCCCGCATCTCCATGGGAAGTTTATAAGCAGCTGTGTACGGCGACGAGCGCTCGTAGGCCTGCGCCGTGTTCTTGCCACTACTAGTAACGATGTAGAGCAGACACTTTTGTAACTGCTTCTCGTACTCCGTGCCGCCGAGAATGCCACCGTCTAATTGTCCATTGGTATTGCCCGATCCTCCTCCCACGGGCGTGCCATCCAAAGCGATTAAGTCTGTGTCGCCGTTGGGATTAATAAAGTCATACGACTTGTTCAGTATTAGGCTGCAGTTGCGCATATTGTCGTCTGTGAGGTAGTTATGGATGTATTCCTTCTCCTCTTTGTACAACAGGTGATCGTCCACATGGAACTCGAAATAAATGCGCAGCCCATCGACCACCTCTTTTAGCATGCAGACACTGAAAGCACTAAGTTAGTACATTGTTAGGGATAGATTTATGGTTTACAAACTTGGACATGACACGATCGTACTCCCGCTCCATACGGGCATTCCGGCTCTGCGTGTTCCTAGCCCTGGAGCTGTCCTGCTTGATTCCTATGGCTAGCTCCACAGCCCTTTGCTTGACGAAGTTCTCCATGATGGTCACGATGGGCACGCGGGAGGGTAGTGCATGCTGTTTGCCGAGTTTCTTGATCATATTCCGATCATATTCTATAATCTCTCGTAATCGCTCACTAACACGCATCATGATGCGGTCTTCTTGTTGGACGAAGCACTCTGAATTGGGATCTACAATGTCATTGTGATGGGCGGTCTCCGTGAGTCGACCCCGGCTTCCCTTCAATCTGCCATCACCGGGTGTTGCTTTTTCTTTTCTATTCCCACCGCTATTGTCCCGCGGACGGTTGACAGCTGAGCGTTGAGTGGGCGGCATTTCCTGCTCGGCCGTTAGGTGTCCTGTGTCCAGAGGATCTCCCAAAGGTTCTTCAACGTGGGCACCACGCCCGCCGCGTTTTTTCTTGGTCACTGGCTTATCAGGCGTTCCCTTATATGAGTAGTCACCCCTACTGTAAGTCGAATAAATAAAGATGATATTGCTAGTATTAATATGGAAAAATTGTGGTACTTACATCTGTAACTGTGCCGCTTCTGCTAACTCGCGCTGCAATTGGCGATTTTCTTCGGTGTCTTTCACCAGGACCGGTGCGCGTACACAGCGATCGTAGGACGGCCGCCAGCCCTGGAAGTGGATCTTGTAGTCGTAATACCTCAGGCCATGTTCGTTGCGACGCTCAAAAACGTTAAGAACCTACAGGGTTTGTGGGAAAAAGGAAAAACAGCGGTGAAAACTTCGATTTTGACGTTTGTTTGACGTTTCAACACGCGTTTGTGTGCGTGTGTGTTACCTTGCTAGTGTAAAGAACACGAGCCTTCGATTTATCCGGCTCGTAGCAAAGGACAATCTCGCCTTTGTGGAAAATCGGCACCTCGTCCCTAAGCTCCGACATCACTTTAGCAAAACCAAACGTAAATAGTTCACTTATTTCTAAAAAATTTAAATATTAAATTCAACGTCTGGCGTCGCTTAGCTGTTGGACTTATCGAATAATTGCGATGGCAACTGACTATCGAAAATATAATCAACTATTACCTTAAAAACATCGATAATATAAGATTTGGTAAAATCGAAAATTTCACATCTCTAGAGTACCGTTTATCAATGTGACCGTGCTTAGGCAGCTTTCGGCAATATCATGTTTTCATTTTCGCGGTCTTTTAAAATATAAACAATCAAACACTTCAATAAAAAGTTATTTCAAATTTTTATAGTTTTTCTTGGAGCTTTAATAAAAACGTACTTTTCTTGGAAAAGTAATGTAGAGCTATTATTGAAATGGGAAACCATTCAATATACCAGAAATGTATGGTCATTCTGGTTGCTAAGGGCAAGGAAAACCAAAACAAAGGCATATCCTGAATCACCTGTTCGTTTTCACACTGTCCTACCAAGTATTCCACAATTTTCTGCCATGGCCGGTGCTCCCAACTGGCTCCATGTAGACACAGAGGACGATAGTCCTCCACCGCAACTTACCACCCTCTCTAGTTGCATGGCTTTGAGCGATGTTCAGTGCGATGGTTACGTCCGGATGTTAGCGGCGGACATTTCGTTGGATGATGCCTCAGAAGAACCTAGTGCTACTCTGAAAGTTTTCCGGGGACTGAAGCTGAAGCAAGAGCAACCACTGCCGGGAATTCCCACGGCCATTGAAAGTCTTTACATAGATGAATCGGAACCCAAAACACCGGGCAAGAAAAATTGTGCATTTATAAATATTCCACCAATAAGAGTTTGAAATTTACAGTAATTGCCGTGGCCATCGCCGAGTCAGTGCTCTTTTATCGCCACCTAAAACCGTACTTTAAGTACACGATTCCTGCCCAGGATTCTGAGGATCTCGAGCTGGAGGTGTGGCGCAAACTGCCAGTAATGAAACCAAATGCCCATCCCGCCTTGTTAGAGTCCCTGCGAAACATTGACCACTCCAAGTTGTCGCGAAAATCCCAGAGACTTCTGCAAATGGGCGAGGAGGAGCGTGAGGACTTTATTACCCTGCACAAGGAGTCACCAGTGGGTCGGGTGGGCAGTATTGTGGCCATGTGTTGTATAAAGCGCATCTCCAGCGATGCTAATCCTCCCTCTCACTTGGTCCTGGCCACCGATACTGGACATATCTTGATACTGGAGCCGCAGGGCTTTAACCTGGTATTCGAGGGCAGTACCTGCCAGGATGAAACCGCCGTCCCCAGCTTGATCTCCGTACAGGGAACATTTGAAACGGACTTTTGCATAGTGGTGGCAACGCGAAATGGCGGTGTCTACCTCCTGCGCAAGAGCCAATCCGAGGGTCAAGAGATATTTAAGCTTGGAATACCGCTAACAGGTCTGCTACTCCTGCCTATTGATCAAACGATAATCGCCTCCACTATGGATAATCGCTATTTGTGCTACTCGAAGCGCGGCAAGTTGTTATATCAAGTGCAACTTGGCGAACTGCCCGTCAGCCTCCTTCCGTTGCCCATGACCCATTTGGGACTCAATCTGGTTGCTATTGCTCTTAAAGGTGGCGTGGTTAAATTTTATCTGCAGCGCTATCTGGTCGATGAGTTCTCCCTTGATGAAACAGTGGATGCCATGCTATACGGCAGGATGGGTATGGAGGATCACGTCCTTACCCTCGTCACACAATCAGGCCAGATTGTGGTCAAGATCTTGAGACGGGTATCTCGATTTGAGCCCAAGCCCGGAGATTTGGCCAACAAGAGATCAGGCAACGATCAAAAGTCTATCGTTGATTCCTCCATTCTTGACAAACCCAAGAAGAGCTCAATCTTTGTGGAGCAGGCGGAACGGGAGAAACAGCACGCCAAATGTAAGTCATCGCCCATGCAGAAAAATTTGTTTTTTAAATATTCTGTTCTTTCTACAACCTAGCAACCTATGGCAGTTTTCAAGTGGAGCTGTGGCGTCTGAGACACACGGCAGCGAGGGCAACTATAGATGCCATCAACTCATCCGAGAGCACGATATCCGGAGATCTAACCCATGCCCCTGTCAAACTATCCGCCGAGGTCTGCGGTAGTGGACCTGCCTTTCGTCTCTACCTCACCGTCCAGAATCTGTCGACATTCAAAATGGCATCCAACCTGGTGGTTCTACTTCACGCAGATAGACGCCACTATACAATTGCGCAGACCTTGGCCCGCCTACCCAGTGTATTGCCGGGAGTACCCCTGCGAGTGGACTTCGAGGTAGTGGCCGTGTTGGATCCCATGGACAAGCTGCCCCCGGCTAGCCTTACCCCGGATAACTCTCTAATTCGGGTTATGCTGATGAAAGCTGGTCAAGCCAAGCCTCTCATCGCAGCAGCTGTTTCAATGCCCCAGTCCGAGGCAGCCTTCTAAGCAGGATATGTAAGCAAATAAGTTTTCTGGTTTCATAATAAGATTTCGAGTTTATTTGACAGATGGAGAATAGTCCCAAGGGTCAGACTTAGGCGTACTTGGGGGCGTACTTCTCGTACACCTTAATGTAGGCCTCCTTGGCGGCCTCCTTCGACAGACCCTTGTGGGCGTTCCAGGCCTCGTACATGGCCTTCTTCTTGAGATCCAAAATGCCGGGCTTCTCGATGTTCACATCACCAACGGTGGACTGCTTGAACAGACCGTAGAATTCCAGGAACTCGGAGTCGGTGGGCTTCTTGGAGAAGTTCTTGGCGAGTTCGGCGGCTTCCTCAAAACTGACCATGGTGCTTGATTTATAAGTGATACTAAAGTACTTCACCCCGCCAACAGCTGCCTTTTATAGGCCCCTTTTAGTTGATATTACGAAATTTAATTAATTTGAATATGTTCAGGTGCATTACCCAATGGTATATCTACAATTGGAGACCACAAAGCCGTTTAAAAAGTTTAATTAATATTGAGGTAGATACTATTATCTGCACAGAAGACCGAATCACTATTCTTAGTAACAAATCGTGCGACTTCACCATGATATGGGATGTTAGGCCCTGACTCACGTGAATTCGGTGTAAGAGTAGAATCGATGACTGTTGAAAATCGGTGCTAGCCTTTAATTATTGGCTTGTTGGTTATCCAGATTTCTGTATATTCTGGCCAACTCAACAGTTTCGAACGTCGACCTAATCAATCAACCAGATAGTGGGTACATAGAGGCTATGCAAATGGCTCATTCAATTTTTGGCAAGTGCAAGTGCGCTGATAAGCCAAGGCTGACTAATTATATATTTCAATGCCCGTAAGAGGAACTCTCACTTTTAATGATTACCCGAATATATACTTTACGATAAGCCCCTGTGGGAACTACAATTGCAGTTGGGACCCAGATAAGATTACCAAAAGGTGTGAGCCATGTTTGCCAATATATAAACGGTGTTCATACCGAAATCCGCACAGATTGTTTTTGTTTACCGAAACCAACTAGCTACCAACATGCCCACCGTAAGTTTTACACCATTAAACCTTTCCTTGAATTGTTTAAAAATTTGTATTTTAAAACATAGTTTGAGGAGATTGTCGAGAAGGCCAAGAACTTCAAGAACCTGCCCAGCAAGGAGGAGTTCCTCGAGTTCTACGGCTACTACAAGCAGGCCACCGTTGGTGACTGCAACATCGAGGAGCCAGAGGATGAGGAGAAGAAGGCCCGCTACAATGCCTGGAAGAGCAAGGCCGGTCTGACCGCCGATGATGCCAAGGCCTACTACATCGAGGTCTACAAGAAGTACGCTCCCCAGTACGAATAAGCAATGCATTTTCCAGTCAACACTTAGATTTAGACCCTTTCCTGTGACCTTTCTAAAGATGCATGTGCATAGTTGTTGTAACTCAATGTATTTATTGTAATTTTATAATAAACAAAACACTTATGCATTTAACATAAATGGCACCTTTATCAATTCCTAACTTTCCACTCAAGTTGCCGAATACGATCATATGACCCACACCATACTTATCTTAATCTGATTATGGGCTACCGAATTTTAGCGCCTACCTTGTAAAGTGGAGTTATAAATATAGAAAACGAAATCTTTATATTATTTAGTTTCCTATCGCGAACATACTTTGATTAAACTAAATAATTGAAATATAAAAATATTTATTACTATCATAATTGTTTTCCATGTAAAGAAAAAGTTTAATTAATTATATTTTATATTTCATCGGACAGCTGCTTCTTAAAAAGATGTTTGTAATATGTTAGTTTATGATCTGGTCATTGTCTTGAACTGATGTCAGCTCATTTTTTTGGGCATAATGTCTTAAAAGCTTCTTAATCTTCCTACGTGTCAATCATATGAGGTGAGCTGTTATCTAAAAAATGCCGGTGTGATCCAATTTTAAAAGTACAACAAATTTATAAAATAATAATGTTCTAGATCTTGATTTATAATTTATGACTAATATTTATATGAGGATTTTCCCTCAATATTGTCGTAATCACATGTTACTTGTATTAAAATAAAAAAGTTACTCATAATATGAAAGATTAAGTTCTCTTTGATATGATTCAACGAATTTAATGAATACAATTTCCGGTGAAATAAAGAAGCAAATTAACCCAACGTCGTCGGTAAGTTTAATTAGATAATACACATATATTTTGTATATATAAGGAGTATTCTTCATAGTTCTATACCTCACAAGTATGTATTTAAATCTTATATACATATTTTAATAAACTTAAAATTATGGTGTTAAATATTATTATAACGTTTTATATATTTAATTTTATACAAATATGTAGAACAGTTCTCTACACCATTTTTACACTTATATTGAACGAAACTATAAAGCACAATTTTGAAGCATACTTTTAGGAAAGTGCTTTCTTCATGTGATTAGTTAACGAAAAGAATGGAGACTTTACTTGGCCCACTTTTTTAAAGAAAATCAAGTATACGCAAATTTTATTTTTTTAATTTTTAGAAGTGTTAAGAATTATACATTTTGACCATGACCAATAAAGTTACAAGAAACTGAATAAGTTTAAAATATATCATTATCTACGAAGCGCTTTTTAAACTGATTGGTTAAAGTCGAATACAGCAATTTCTGATATGTATTTTATATTTTGAAGTCCCTATTAAATAAGAAAGGGGACAATCGTGCCATAAACAGCTGATGCTGACTAAGAAGCCACGTATATTTGCCATTTATAATCTCTTAGATTACTAGCGCGTATCTTAGACCAACTTAGGGAACTAACCATTTCGTCATTATTTATGGCTAATTGTAAAAGTTTTCTAGTTCGAAGACGAATTTGCAGGCGAATCCAGGCAAAGCGCGCCCTTGGTTCCTAAAACAAGCAATAAACGATAAGGGTATCCGGGGGCTATCTCCAATATCGCTACCTTTGACAATGTCGCTCGCTTGTAGTTGGGCAAACGAAATTAGCGAAATAAAGATATCGATATCTGCTGATTACCAGTAAAATGGGAATATTTGACTTGGTCCAATAAACCAATAGAAAACTGAAAGGGTTCGAAAGCTTTATAAACGCAACTGAAAGGCCAAGAAGTATTCAATCGTCTTTGCTATTTCCTGTGGTAAGCACATCGACAAGTCCTTGAAGCATAACGAAATTTAATAAGACATTATTCTGTTCTTTAGCATTACCAACAAGAATCCAAACCTAACAACATGGTGTCTGTAAGTATTAAACTCTATGGATATATCTATAAATTATGGAGAATGTTTCAGTTAAGAAAAAGGATTACAGTGCTTTTGATGTTTGGTATTCCTTAACTTAAGGCACTATTCAATCAATAATGAATGATTTCCCATATAATCTCTTATTTTCCATTCCCCAACAGTTCGAAGAAGCCTCTGAACTCGCCAAGAAGTTCACCAAGAAGCCCACCGATGCCGAGTTCCTGGAGTTCTACGGTCTGTTCAAGCAGGCCACCGTTGGCGATGTCAACATCGAGAAGCCCGGCGCTCTGGCTCTGAAGGAGAAGGCCAAGTACGAGGCCTGGAACTCCAACAAGGGTCTGTCGAAGGAGGCTGCCAAGGAGGCCTACGTAAAGGTGTACGAGAAGTACGCCCCCAAGTACGCTTAAATCGGTAACCGGTTTCCGGACCCCCCATACACCTGCCCACTACTACGTTGAACAATAAAGATTATCCGAGATATGAGCAATAATCAAGTGTTTGTCCGCCTGAGCGGCATTTTATTGGAGCTTTCGTGCATTGTAGTCACCGCCCATCTTCCGCCCAACCCTTGAATCCACTGGATTTCTATTTGTGATAGGAGGGCCGCTCGAACTTCGATCCGAATAAGATTACGTGGCTTCGCTTTAGTTTGATGGCCTATCAGGTGCTGTTATCAGTGGGTCTGCATTATCACCACCATGATTGCCTAACCCACTCAAGCGAAAGCTCTATGATCCACAGAGAATTTTACTGGAGCTTCCCACTCTCTCGATTTCTCATCGGGGAGAAGCTTTCTCGGTGTTTGCGATCGTGCGATATGGAATGACTTAAATTGAAAGTCACCGCCAGATTGGAATTCAGACACTGTTTAGTTCTGTGACAGCCAACACAAAAGTAAGTGTTTAGTTTAAATTGGCCGCGGTCTGCATTCAATTGCCCCAAAAGCCCTTGCCACCTCTATCTGTATTCCGTAATTGTGGATGTGACACATAAAGTACTCATTAAGATAATGGTAACTTGTGCGATTTTGGACACCTGTAAAATTCGATTATGGAAATTTTCAAAGCAATAAACACTCAGCAAAAACTGTGTTTTGTGTGAATCAAAATTTATAATCAAGAACTTTGAAACACTTACCCTTTTGACATTTGTGGTTTCTCATGTTTTATTGGCTCATTAAAAAAAATGAGTATTTTTAAATGTTAAACAGAACATTTTCGGATTGCAAGCTTTTGTAATCATAAATTGCAAAATCATATATGGCAGTGCTCGACACGTACAAAGCCCACGCCTGAAACCATATTGGTCACAATTTTGCCGGCCATAAGCGTCAGCTAACGGTTGCCCGCTCCCTTTCAAAAATCTCGGCCTAGAGACACATATTTGCGCCGTCTGCTTCCGCAGCATAATTTCGAAGTTCTACTCAAATTATGTATTTCTGCTGGGAGAAAGTCGGACATGTGTGTGGCCCGACAAACATCCATTAGCAAACATTCATAAGTTCTCTGAGATCGCCTCACGGGGCCAAAGTTCAAATCCACCTGGCTCTGTTTGGCACACGCCAGCCTCCTCGCTCGAAACTGGTTTTAACTATTATGACAATAAACATAAAACTAACCGCTTTATAAACATGTCTAATTTAACTTTTTTACAATTCCACTTCTTGCAGATAAAATCTAACCCAGAATGCCCCTCTCCGAGGTAAGTACTTCCCCTCATTGGATTGTGCTCTGATCGCAACAGTCTGCTAGATTTAGAGCGCCCCTTAACTGAGTGATAAGCCAGTCAGTGCTAATCACCTGTTCGATTACTTTACACTGAAAGAAATCAGCCTTTATAAAGTATTTCACTCCTCCAAAGATTCTTTGTAAAATGAGATTAGATTAAACTTCTGTTAATACGTGACAAGTAGAAAGTTGAAATTTTCATTTGTATAATTAGCTTAACATTCTAATTAGAATGTTTTAGTGATTCTTTACCAAATAAAACTAAAACAACAAACCATTATTTATCTAGCAATTCAACGCCGCCGCCGAGAAGGTGAAGAGCCTGACCAAGCGCCCCAGCGATGACGAGTTCCTGGAGCTGTACGCCCTGTTCAAGCAGGCCAGCGTGGGTGACAACGACACTGCCAAGCCAGGAGTCTTCGACCTGAAGGGCAAGGCCAAGTGGGAGGCATGGAACAAGCAGAAGGGCAAGAGCAGCGATGCTGCCCAGCAGGAGTACATCACCTTCGTGGAGGGTCTGGTGGCCAAGTACGCCTAAAACCCCAATCCCAACCATCAATTAGCGATCTTAAACCAGCTAGAGACTATACACACTAATTTTACCTATAATGCGGAATAAACTTTGTATGTTAATTTTGTACTAAAAGATGTTGACCCGGTGACTCAAGTGTTGCATTCGCTTAGCCTGTGGATATTTACCCGGCAAATAGAGGAAGTGGTTGCACCGTTTTTCTGTACTTTGAACCAACAGTGGCGCTTGTTAGCCGGGCATCGTTAATGGATCTTCGAGTGTGTTTGTCCAAACTAACTGGCAACCGGGTTCAAAGTCGAGGTCGAGGGGAAGATATTCGAATCTTCGACCTTGAGGCGTCCATCTATACCCCATTTAATACTTAGTTAAAACTAACGAAAAGCTTTCCATAATTAGCCACGATTTTCTGGGATTAATATGTCATTACCTTAAACGCTTCAGCAACATTAGTTGCGAAGCAACACATCAACCGGTAGCAACATGTTGCTGGCCGCCGGTTGCTGAGGCGCGCAACAGGTGAAGCAGAAGAAGAAGAAGAATAAACAGTCACAAAAAGGGAGAGGATAACAGAACAACAACAATGCCGTCTGCGTTTTTTGTTTATGAATGAAAAGCGCAAAGGAAAAACAGCGATAAACTTGTGTGCGGGCAAAAAGAGCAGCAAACTAGGGTATTTTAGAGGGTTCGTTTAATCGATACCCTATAGGAAATATTTTTTGAACGGATTTTTCTTTTGTCTACTTTTGGGCTTTTATTTTTTTATTGTGAAGCTGAAGAGACCACGTTAAATATTTTAGAGCAAATAATAAAACATTTTTAAGAGTCCCTAGATGTTCATAGAACCAATACACCTGTTCTAAAAAAGAGTACCAAAGGTATTCCGACAAGAAAGGTAGTCAGATGGAGAATCAGTGAGAACTTGGCCGCCGGAGAGAGAGCCAAGAGAGTGCACGAGAGAGCTGGTGAGCGGGCAGCGATCGTGCAAAACAAACAGGCAACAACAACCAGTCGGTGTCGGCCAGTCTGACAATTGGGCCTTTGCTTTTGCGTTGCCATTCCGCTCAGTTTCAGTTTCAGTTCAGTCAGTTCAGTCTTCATTTGGGCCCAAACGCGTTCGCTTGGCCAGCGCGCTTGACACTCCGCTGCCGCTTCGCCCCCTTCGTCCCTCGCTCATACTCTCTTGCCTTTTTCAAGTGTATGCGTGCACCTGCCTACGTGTGTGCATGTGTGTGCGTGTGTGTGTGTTAACAAAATGTGATTAGCAAAAATACAAAGAAATCAGGCATAGTGGAACAAGGCATTGTGGCTGAAACAACAGTCAACGGTAACAGCAATGCATATAAACAAAAAAAATACAATAATAATCATACACAACAAATAAAATATAAAAAAAAACAAATTTTTAAAGATATACACGAAATGCGAAAATTTGCATAAAAAGCAATGCGCTGGCGCGGCAACAAAGCGCGGCCATAAAAAAATAAATAATAAACGCCAACGACAATTCTGAATTTTGTGCTTTATCGGCAACAGCAGCAACAATTAAATTAATATTGAACTACACCCAACGTTAACAAAAGTAGCAGCCATAAAAAAAACACCACCACCACAACAGCAACAACAACAACTACGAAAAGCGGCAACAGCAACAACCATAAACGTTGTCTACCTCTTTTTTTTTACCTTTTCAAGTGTGTGTTTTTTGTTGCTGCTGCAAGAGAGATATATAGAGAGATCCGGAGAGCAGGAGCCGCAGACAAAGAGAGGGCCAGATCGGGGCTTAACTCCGACTCCGACTCCCGACTCCCGACTTCGACTTCAACCAGTTCCAGTTGCTCGAAGTGATACTGATATGACCAGCTGTCTGCCAGCAGCCACAGATGCAATCCGGTGAGTTTCGCCCATTCACCGTTGCCGCATTCAAATTTGTAGACCCAAAGGTATAATTTGAAGTTATCTTGAGTGCCTTTCGATTGGTTTTTAATTTTTTTGGTGATCAAAACTTTGTGTTATGATTTTTGAATGGATGGGTTAAGGTAGTCATTAGATAAAATCGAAAAACTAGACCTATTTCATAATGTTTTTCACATTATTCAGATTTGGTTCATATCTTAAAAACCTAAACATTAAATTTAAGACTCAACGGATATAACCATTAGTAGCGTTTTTATATTAAATTTAAAGTGAAATATTTTACATTTTAATTTCACCAGTTAGTTGTGAAGGTAAAAAGTTGGCCAGGTAGCAAAATCTAGAGAATCGACATTCTCAGGCTCCGCAAACCCATTAAAAAGTGCCAAAAAATGTGCGAGGGTATTGGTGGGGGATATTTGTGTATTTTCGTACGAGCTTCTTGTTGTTGTGCTAATTCGCAGCAATTTCTTCGTTCGCGGCCTTTTCATTAATAAGTTTCACGCGCCGCTCATTTTTCAACATACTCGCACTCCTGTCCCCCTAAAGCACCTCGTCTCTGGATCGGATTACCGTGTTGATGTTGTCTTTACTTTTCGCAGTCCCCAAATGCTGGCGAGGGGGAATAAGGGAAGTGGGACGAATAAATTATTATTTTTTGCTAATTCGTACATGTAGGTAGTTTTTCGGCTTTCATTGGGGTAGATAACATAATTTAACTGGTGATGCAATACGCCTAAGGAATCGGATAGAGACGATTGATATTCGATTTTCAGTGTTTTATATTTTGTTTGATTAATTATCATGTATTTACCAACGATATTTAGAATAAAACTTGTTAAACATGATCAGCATTTACAGCTGAGTTGGCAATTTGTTTTTCATGTAATATCTCTTTTAAGTAATCATAAGGAAAGTAATTCAGGTATTCCCTGATCAAAGATAGCTCTTAAATGATAATAGGATCAACTGCCCTTCACACTCGATAACCAATAATTACCAATGACATCTGCAACCCAGATTTCACAGTCCAGACAAATATATTATCAATCGAAGCGAAACCCCGTCACCCATCCCACCCAGCGGTGGCGATGACTGTCTGCGCATGCGTAGGGTAGTCACAAACAGAACGGATTGTTCGAGGTAGTGAGTGGAAAACAAGTTTTCCGAGCAGCGACTAATACTAGTTATGTTTTGCGACTGCCAGCCGCCAAAAACTCCTTTTCCCCCGGCCGTCGGGCAGACTTTGAACCGTCGTGTAATTGCAGTCGCAAGTTGGAAGTTGCTGGTTGCAGGTTGCAAGTTACCAATGGCCAGCGGCAGGCTGCCGAGACACTTGACGCTCCTCCGGGCAAAGGCAGAGGCACATTGGCCAGGTATGACAATGGAATGCACAAACAAGAACCAAACACTTGCCAAGCACGCAATGAGACTCGGATTCGGAAAAGCGGAATGTTCGCTGGATCAGAATACGTATACGTCCAGTGTGACGGTTATGTGAGCCGGTCGCCCGGTTCGCGGAAACTCCCAACAAGGAGATTCCAAAGGCCGTGCCACTTGGTCGGTTGGCTTAGCCCTGGACCAACAGGTAGGGTTACTCATAGCGAAGCATCTCAGATCTGCCACCATTGGAAAATTGAGTCATTCGCACGCTCTTATGAAATACAGACAGACTTCTATAAATCGAACTGCTATCTTGTCACGTTCAAGATCTACAAATTGCGTGCATATCATTTTCACTCCGGATTTTGCGTCATCAGGTATTACACATTTCTTTAGGATTTTGCCAAGTGAACGTAATTTTGTATCTAGTTCATATTTTAAAGTTATTTTGAAAGTTCATTTGGTTATGCCAAGAAAAGTGCGTAATATTTTCTTCATACATATATGGAAAGCCTTTGGAGTAATTTTGGTAAAGCCCCAGAAGTGATGGTCAGTCAATGGAACAATGGTAAATTGTAATCATACTTTCATAGTCAAATTGCTGTCTTAGCCAAAGAAGTTTGACTGTAACAATGAGGCTTAACGAACTAAGATATTTAGTGACTGTGTTTATTCCATTTCTGAACTCTGCCATTTTGTGGAGCAATGCAAATAGAATCTAAGCGGAGAATTATGGGGTCTCGAATTTTTGGCACAGCCTTTGTTTCCACTCTGTCTCCGAAATCTGGAGACCACGGGGCCCCTCGAAAACCCCTGCCCCCTATTCACAGATCTTGAGCCCGGGGCTTCGTGTGTATTAACCTGCCGCACCGGTTTCGGTTTATGTTTTAGCCAACGCCATCATCCATTACTTATACCCGAACCCGAACCCATACCCATACCCCTGCCCGTACATATGTGTGTTTCTATTTCTCTTTTAATTTTCTCTCGGGCGCTCAAAGTTGCTGCTGCTGCCGCTGTTGCTGTTGCTGCTGCTGCTGCGACTTGTTGCTGCTTCTTTATTTATTTTTTAACCAGTTTTTCTGTTTGTTGTTGGTGCTGCAACCTGAGCGCGAATGAGCCATAAATAACAACAACCACAGCAGCCCAGTCGCTGTCTTCTGTCCCGGTTTCCAGGAAGCAAATGTCTGTCCGTCCGTCAGTCCGCCAGTCTGCCAGCCCGCTTGTCGGTCCGCCCGTCGAGAGGCCCAAACCCATACCAAAGCCAAACCGTCTGCAATTCGCGTGCAGAGTTGTTGTGTTGCCTGCGCCTGCCTGCCTGCCTGACTGGCCCCTATGGATTATGCAACTCTTGGTTTTGGTTTTGGTTTTGATTTTTATTTGAAAATTTAATAACCCGGGCGTTGGCGTTGGCGTCTGCTTCCTTGATGGCGCGACAGCGGCAAGAAATGACTTTTCTGCCAGCTTTTTAGCGCCCACTCATTTGGCCAGCTAGCAAATTCCCCGGGGTGATCCGCTAAGTCGCGGCTAATCCCTTGCCGGAATTTTGCTCATCTAATCAAAAGACCGTGCATCACCTGCATTCCACGAAGGTCCAAAGAAAACGTCGACAGCAAGTTGGCCAAGAATTTACCGGGCTATCAGCGGTACAAACAAGCGGCCAAGTGCAAATGGGCAAACACAAACAGCGTTTGCGGGAAACCCCACGGAAAACAGAACCGAATCAATTCGCAGAATTCATGCCCAGGCATACTGTGCAGATTCTTGGGTAAACAAACTAGCTTGGGCATGTGAATGTAGGACCAGCCTGCACTCATTGCCAATTTTTTGAAGGTTCCATAAAGATAATCGACCCATATTTGGATGCCATAGAGATAAGGGTTATATCGTTAGGATTTCTAGTATCACAATGTCTATGGGTAATCGTCAAGTACTTTTATATAAATTCCATCACAGCCTGTGCAATGGCATTCTCGCTCTGAGTATCTAAGATAAGCATCGGTGGCAGTGCAACAAGTATTTGGTGTCCGCGGAAAATATCTATATTTATACAGCTATATATGCACTTTCGGGGAACCCGAGAATAGAACTGCTCTGGAGCAACAAGTACTCGTATTTTGGCGGAACCTCTACACTCGGACTAGTTTGCATTCGCAAATGCCTGGCGATAAGATAAAAAGTGGCTGCCAGAGGCCCCTGAACTTTGGCAATGGGCCAATTCCAAACATGGCAGTGAAAAAATGCAGTGGCTAAAAGTAAACAAATACACTCTAAATCTCATTTGATGTAGTCGGAGATTTATTCGTTGCATTCCATTGCAAAATAATAATCAACTTTATGTATACTTTATAATCCTGAATTTCTTTTTAGCTGCCACAGATGATGCTATTTGAGCAACCTTAATTGGGAGAATCCTCCAAGATGCACGAACTCTTTAACAAAGTGCTCGCCAAGCGCGATCTCTCCAGAGCCGGAGATCTTTTCTCCGTGCCAGATGCTGATATTGTCGACGACATCACGGAGGTGGTACGTTATCTCGAACTATTTCTTAAGTCCTTATTAATTTGACTGCTATTTAAGCTCTCCGAGATCAGCCCGATCATCTCGCATGCGGACTATGTGAATAACAACAATGACCAGAGCGTGGTGGAAATCTGTGTGACACGGGTGCTGTCTTGCATCCGGGAAACACGCACTGCCGAGAGGTATTGCGCTGCTCTGGTTGATCTTCTAAAGACCTGCCTGTTGTGGAACCTCCAACCTTCGGTAACCACAAAAGAAGAACCACCCCACGCCAAGATCGCCGCCGATATCATCTCTAGCATTTTTCTGGTAAACAAAATTTATCTAAATTGAAATAAATTATTAACATATTTATATTTTAACTCTCGCTTAGAACTATGACAAAAAAGAACTGATGAAAATTGCCCTTCCTGTCGCCGTACAATTCCTTCCTAAAGGAAACCGAGAGCTGTCAAGAAACCTGGCCAGTTACTTATCTCTGGCGGCCATTGATTACGCCTGCTTACTAAGTCCTCATACAGAATCCGTCATGGAATCGATTCTGTCCGGAAACTATGGACTACTGCGAGTGCTTTCGCAGGTGTATGAGGTGGCTCCGGAGGCGGTAACGCCACATGCCCCACTTCTAATGCCCCTGCTGCCACAGTGTGATTCCCAAGAGCGGATGGCGGTGTTCCAGCTGTATCTACTGATTGTCCAGAAGTCGCCTGAGGTTCTGGAATCGTGCGTTCCACAGCTTTGTGGCTTCCTCCTTGATAGCGATACCTCCAGCATCACCATGCAGATTCTTCTGAAACTGTCCCAGCACTCGCCAAACCTTCTAATCGATCACTTTGAGCAACTTCGTCTGGCGGCCAAGACTAATCCTGGAACGATTCCACTCTGTGCCCAGATAATGACTACGGCGGGAATCGGAAGCAAGGAGACGGCCCAGCAGGCTTTGGATTTTGTCCTGGAACATTTGCCCACCCAGGCACTTTTGCAACAGGAGGCCACTCGCCTCTGTTCCGCTTATCCTGTTTTATTTACCGACAAGGTCCTGGCCTGTGTGCGGCAAAAAAATGCAGCTCTTAGCCCTCAACAGGATATGGGTAATGCTTTGGGAAACAAGACTTCCGGTGGTGTCACTATTGTCAGCTTAAACAGCTCCAGTCCCAGTCCGCCTCTTAAGCCAGGTAAACTTATTTTGGCAATTTGAAAAATTCCTTTTTAATTCATAACTTTAAATACTTTTCAGCTCCAATTGCCACACCGTCCACCAATTCCAGCATCATCCAGCCGGCCATCGTAGCCAGTGCCACACCCACTGTACCTCCCGCATCTGCCTCGGTGCCCGTTGCCACCTCCACGCCCGTGCCAGCTGCCACACCCACACCGCAGCATGCGGGCTACACGAGGCGGGTGAAACTGGGAGATTCCCGGAGCACAGGTCGTCTACATCCCGCCAGTAACACGCACCGGAGTGTGACCCGGTTGAATGTGGCTACTGGATCAGTTGGCGGACTGCACAAGAGCATGACCCGCCTGAGCAATTCTCAGATTAACCAGCAACCTGGGGGCAGCTCCAATGGCAATGTGATCGTTCAATCGGGTGCCACACCCAAGACACCAACTGCTTTTAGTAATCCGCCCGTAACTCCAGTACCGCCTTTAAGTAACAATGTGGTCATAACTGGACATAACCGGCATGGAATACCTGTGACCTCTGGAGGAGTAACTGTGACCACTTCGCCATCCAAGGTACGACCCCATTCTCAAGGACCCTCCACGCTGCTGAACTCGAGCACGGTGCTGATGAAGTACAGTACGGATGCACTGAACCAGTCTGTGGGCTCGATCTCCATACCACAGACTTCTACGGCGCCCATTTTGCCACCGACGCAGACACAGAATGCGGTATCCGTACACCATGCCTCGCCAGCACTGCCCCAATCCTCCACCAATGGCAATGCCAAGTCGGTGATGAAGCTGCCTATCAATGGAAATGTAAGTGGGAAAAGTTAAGCCCTATGATATTGGATATAAACTGATAGAAAAACCTATTTGCAGAGCGAAGTGATTGTCTCAGGACCCACCACCAATGTGGCACCTCGACGCAGCGATAATACCAGCAGGACCTTACTGAATGCCAACAGTGTAATGGACCAGCGGATGAGCACTTTCGAGCCGTATCAGATTATGCGTGATCCCGTCCAGCAATTCTGCGAGAAGAACTTTAATTCGATCAAGTCGTACATGGATGAGGTTTCGCAGCATCTGCCACCGCCCACACGCTGCAGCATCGAGGGTAAGTCCTTGGTGGTCCTTTTCCCTCAATCTCTAACTCCTTTCCCCATCCATCCCTCACATAAACACACACCTCTTCACACACACAAACACATCACACAGTTTCCAATGAATTTGCAGAGCGTCGTACCAAAAAGGTGGCCAAACTGCATTTCGCCTGCCAGATTCGTGGACCCCATTGCCTGTACTCCAAAACTTGCTTCACGATGCGGACTCGAAACCCCAAGACCTGGATACATATGATGTTCCTGGACTTCCAAGTGAGGCATTTCGTGAGTACCAGGATTTTTCAAGCCTAGAAATATCCTTTTAATTATGGTTTAATTTTTCAGGTGAAGGAGAAGTGTGTGCTGAGCACGCGTGAGTCTGGTATTAGTAATCTCAAGAATATCTGGCAGATACTCAAGTGCGAAAACCGCAGCTTCACCGAGCTGGTTACCAGCCAGTTTCCTCAGGTCAAGGTAGGTGTATTAAATATTCCGAAAAAACATCTTTTTTAACCGATTGTGCTTAATCATCTTTCAGGACCGCGAGATCCTGGTAAACGAGCTGCGCCACTCGGGCTTCCTGGACGTATTTGAGGTCTCTAAGACTGACAAGTCCAATCCAAACTGCAATGAGTTGGAGTACCAGTGGGGTTGCTTCTTGTGCAATCATCCGGATAAAGCGGTGGGCTTCCTCAATGGCAGCAATCAGCCCATGATCGAAGGTCAGCTCAAGGAGAAGAAGGGCAAGTGGAGACTTTTCAGGCGCTGGCGAACGCGCTACTTTACTTTATCCGGAGCGCATTTGTCCTGCAAGGGATCGGTGAGTTTAAAAGCGAAAGTCAATCCGAGACCTTAATAAATTCAAAACTATTACAGAGCGGTGGCGAAAGCATTGATGTGAATCAGATAAGATCTGTGAAGGTATCGCGAGGTGCGCGAAACATACCCAAAGCCTTTGAGATCTTCACCGCCGACCAGACATTAATACTCAAGCCCAAGGACGGCAAGAATGCCGAAGAGTGGGTGCAGTGCCTTAGCATTGTGGTGGCCCACTCGCAGGCCCGAGACAATCCCACGGCCAAGACGAATAGCTTGCCAGCCCGCAGCATGGGCAGCAGCAAGCCCTCCTTCTAGGATTCTAGGATGCGATGCCATCCCAAACCCAATGTGAGATTATTTGTAAATGTAAAGACAGAGCAACGGCAACACACAAAAGACAAACAGACAAAGGAGTGTTGATCACAGGACTCTGCTGTCTATATATACACACCATATATATATATACAATATCTCATTCTATATATATCTATATATATACATACCTTAGGCCTATGCCCATAGACTTATCTAGCGTGTACTTACCATTTCAAGGGATTTCAAAAATTTTGCGAAATTGTTTTTTTCATTTATAGTTGATTTTTATACATATATATTTAGTTTATGCTTATTTATTGTACGTGTATTAAACAAACAGCTTGCTTTCAAAATCGAATGCTTTAGTTATTTTTCAGTACACGGGGCCTGGCTTGCACCTAACCCCCTTTCACCTTCCCCTAATGACTGAATATCAAATTGTAGCTGCAATCATAATTTTTGGCAATGCGGCAAGGAATTCGGTTTGAGGCGTGCCATATCTCGAAGGATATTTGGTGGCGTTTTCTCATAAGCAAATGTTCGCGTTTTTAAACCAAGCTAAATTTATTCTTAATCTGCTTAGCAATTGGCGTTATTTTTACTCTCAACTGATGTGGCATGAAGGAGCTTTTAATTTTGGGGTGCTACTCAACAAAGTTGAACTTAACTCTAGGATAAATTTATTTCTATAAATTTTCATAATACTTGGGACCGAATACTTGAGAGAAAAAGACTTTCAGACGAAAAGTATGCAGCATAGAAATTTTAAATGCCGCAGGGTATGCTATATAAGTTAAATGCAAAATCCAACTAAAATTCATTACTGGATCACTTGTGGTGCAGTGGCCTATAGAAGTCTAGTAGTTTCATGGAATGGAATGATTTTGTTAAAATATTATTTCCTTTGGACGTGGTTAAAACATCTACAACTGCAATCAATGCTTTTGTCGCGTTGTTTCGCTTTGAATTGGACGCAAACATTTGTAACTAACTACATAAAAGTAAACAACGGTCAAGATCTAATAGTTAACTAGACAATTAACAACAGTTTTTGACACAATTCAAGGCGTGGACACATCGCCATTGGCATTGTGATCCGTTTCGTTTGATTCAAGCAGCTGAGTCCAGTTGGCATTCGTCCTGACCACCTCGATGTCCTGTCGCAGTTGCTGGAGCGGGGCATGCAACTCCATGGGCAAACCCTCGTCCAGGACGCGGGACACATGCTCCAGTTGATTGGCATAGATCCTAAGGCGTTCCACATTGTTGTTATCCTGAGGTGAATTTTGGACCTAGTATATATTCGATTTTATTTTTTAATTTATATTAATTTATATAATTTTGAAGACTCACCTGACTGCCATTTACTTTCTCGAGGTATCCACTGACTCGTGGGTCCTTTAGTTGCCCACCCGCCTGCCACATTTTGAGCAGATTCAAGATACCCAGGACATCACCCTGATCGGGGTCTTGGTTGGGAGAAAGCAGGCGCATGGGCGGAAACTCCGTAGTGGGCGATAGCTTCTTGTAGCTGCTGCAGAGTGTGCTCAGCGTGCAGATGTCCTCGTTAAGACGCTGGTCAGGATTATTAGAGACGATGTGGAGTTGGAGAAGCAGTAGCGTAGTAGTTACATGGCAATTAGTTTGGGTTCTCATTTTAAACGAAATAGTGCACTTTTGAACTTGATTTGGGACTGTCGTACCATCGAGATGTCGATTGATGATGGTGGTAGTTTGATGATTGAGGTGATGATGAAATAAGGTGAAACAAATTATATCGTAAGATCGTTCAACAGCTACGACTACAGCACAACTCAAGATGTAAATAAGCCAAGTAATTTATTCAAAATTAAGACTACAACTAAACTAAATCAATCAAATAAAGATAAGATCGCGATCGAGATTGGTGTACAACATATGAGAATATATCTGACGATAAACGATAACGATATATAGAAATGTCTTCGAAGGATGCGCAACAGAAAAGTCCACAAAATGCTCAGCGGCGATCAAGTCTTAAAACCTTACGTCGATCTCGTTGCGATGGCGCTGCATTTCGGCCTTGGCCCCGCTGAGATCGCTGCCCTTGATCATCAGCTCCTGGGTGGCATCCATGAGTTCGTCCTGCAACTTCAGGTTGACGTCCTCTAAGTCTTTTAGTTTCTCCAGCATGTCCTCCTTGTGCTGCTGCAGTTTGTTCCTAAAACAGATAAATAATAAGTTAGAATGTAAATGATTTATCAATGCAATTAGAACTTACTTATCAACTATCAATTGCTGTATGCAATTGTCGTTGTCCAGCTGAACCAGTCTCAACACCTTGAGCAATTTGGTCACCAAGGTGTCCACTTCGATCACCTGGTCTACCACAGCCTGTGCGGTACTATATTCCATTAGTGATGGCAATTCCGCCAGCTCCGCCAATGAATCATGACAACTCAGCTCCTCCGTGTTGCATTGATCGCGAGGACTAGAAAGAAAGTAATATAAGTTAGTAATTAGTTTAGGAATCTCCTATAGAAACTCACTTCATGGGCATGCCATTGATCTTGTGCATGTGCAGCTCCATTTGCTGGCGATTGGTGATGGCCTGGGATAATTGTTGCAGGGAGTCATCGCCGCCTGTTCCCCCATTCATATTGATCTGATGGCTACATTGACTAATCAACTCTGTGGGCAGCTCTATTTGAGAGATCATCCCCGTGCATGAGGAAACCATGTTGTGTGAATGCGAATCCGGGTGTACCACATCCTCCAAAACGTTGTCCATCATCAGCAGACAGGGTTCCGTCTCTGAGTCAAGCATTTCCGTTGAATCTGAATCGTCTGAAGAAGTTTATAAAAAGAATATTAATATTTAAGTTTTTTTGATATTTAACAACAGTCCTACCTCCATTTCCCTGCGGCTCATGACCCGTTGGTGCTGTAGCAACCCCTTGAGCTGATCCTGATCCCACTCCATTCTTTTTTCCCGCATGTCGCAGAGATAAACGTTTGCCGGAATGAGTGGTAGCTTGGCGAATGGCACCGATGACAGCGGCAATAAACGATTGATTGCGCTGCGGGGATAAGGAACCATCACTGGCCAGGACCAGAGTGTGCATGGCATCGCCAGTGGCTGCAGGACCAATGGGCAGATCCAGACCATTTGGCCTTTGACCGTTCTGAACTTGCTCCGATTCCGCCTGGAATCGTATGTCCTGGAAGAATAGAAGGTATTAGGATATGAAAAGGAAATTTAGTAAAACAGAACACCCACCTCCAAGTCCTGCTCGGAAATACTGTAGGAGTAGACCAGCTGTTCCACTAAACCATCCAAACGGGAGTGCAATCCCGACAGGGCAGTGGATGCTCCAGCCACCGAGGCATTCTGCTGATGGATAAGCTCCCGGGACTTGTTCTCCAAAGCGGTGAACTTGGTCTGCAGCAAGCGGTTCTCCTGACGCCTCTGCTCGTTGAGCCTCACAAGGTGTCTGCATTCATCTCGCAGGACCTTGGCCTCCTCCTCGCGATTGGACAACTGCGCTTTAACGGCTTGATAATCCGCTTCCAACTCCCGTAGTGCATCGCATTGAGCTGCCTTCTCGTGCTGCAGGAAGTCCTGAAGCTCACTGGACTCCAGTTCGATGGCGGCCTTCTCCTGAATCAGCAACTGCTGAGTGGCTAAGGATCTTCTCATCTCCAGCTGTAAGGCTCGGCACATGGCCCTCAGCTGTCCAATCTCCTGTTGACGCTCAAAGAGCTCATGGCCACTGATCTGGATCTGGGACTCCAACATAAGCAGACTGTCATGACCACTGCCATCGCCACTGTCCTCCGATGTGGGCGTTCCCGCACTGGCACTTACTACTCGTGCCAGCTCCAGCATTCCCATCACCCGCTCTGTGTTAAGGTGCAGCTCCTGCTGCATGGCCAGCTTTTCCTCTCGTTCCCTCTGCAGTTTTCCACTGAGCTGGCGCACCTCCTGACGCAGCTGCTCCAGCTCGAAGTCCCGTTGGTCGGGTTCCGCTTGGGTACTTTGATGTCGTTGCTCTACGGCGTCCAAGGCTCGAGTCTGCAGGAGACCACCGCCCAGGACTTGCTCCAAATCCTCACTAGTTAATGCCGTTTGCACTGCAGTTTCGTGATAGATTCGCGTCCTAGGAGTCAGCGGCTGGGGTCTTCTTAGGGAATTGACCTTTGCGGTGGCAGGAGCCAGACTTCGACGACTTGTAGGAACCACCATAACCGAGGAAGTCATGCGGGCATCCACAACAGCTGCACGGCTAATGGAGTTACTCCTGGACAATCGTCCCCCGGTGAGATCCTCCACGGATTGTTGTTTCCGACGACGTGGGAGAGTTCCACCGGGTGCAGGACTTCCGCGCATTCGATTTGCAGTGACTTCGGGGGTCACTGACATGCCGCGACGAGCGGCTCCTCGATTCGCGGGCCAACGGCCATCATCCGAGGGAGTTCCCGGAGTCCTGGCCCGACTCAGGGAGGGCGTTCTCTGTACCTGGGTAAGCCGTTGTACAGACTGCGCTCGATTCAGGGCATTGGGCAACGTATCCGGTTTCTGAGGGCGTGCCGAACGAGCCGAAGTGGGCGTGGCTGTGGCACTGGGCACTCGGAAAGAGGCGGAGGTCGAAAGGCGCGACTTGTCTCTGTGACTTGAAGGTGTGGCCAGAGGTCCCTGTCCCGCGCTATTCCTGGGCAGGCTCTCTGCTCTCTTTAGGTTCGCCACTCTTCCACGTAATTGATCCCTGACAGGAGTACCCGTCGCCTCCGGCTCAAACATGGCCACTTTCTTCTTCACGGAACCAGTTCTCCTTGGAGGCGAAGTCTTTTCACTGCCCGTTTCACTGGGAGTCTGCGTCACAGTGGTCACCTTTAGTTCGCAGCTATCGTAGATCTCCTCCAAACCATTGCTACTTGTATAGCCTCCACTGGTGCTGCTCAGGCCACGTTGTAAGGTGACTCGTGAATGGCAACAACTGGCCACATCCAGCCCACTGTCACTCCCATCGCAATTGCCGGGGGTGACCACAGATTCACTTAGCTCCAGGCTGGTCATGCCCACAATTAGCTGCTGCTCCTCCAGGCACACTATTGGCTGCTGTTCATCCGATTGCGATGCCATCTCAAAGAGAGTGGCGGACATGGCCAAGCACTAATCCACTGCGAATGTATTAAAGGAGAAAATGTAAGGTTATTAGTCAGAAGCACTGGAAATAATTTATTTTTCATTTTTTGTATTCATTTCTCTTCTTTTATTTTTCCCAATATTTTCCCTCTGTGCAGTGATTCACTTGGGGCGACCCACATTTCGGGATGCGTATTTTTGGGATGCTGGCATTTCGGACCGATCCCCATTTCCCGCTCCCATTCTCTCGGCATGCGACACAAACAAGTTGCATGCCACCGACCTTTTCCCGAATGCAAAAATAGGATTTTCGAATACAATTCATTTTTTCGGTCAAGTTGCCCGGCACGCAACCCAAAACAGTTGGACGATGGACGTTGGGCGACGGACGGTGGTTGGATGCATCGTGACCAGGACAAAACGTATGGCCCCCAGGCTATGATTGACTTGAACTAGTTCACAGGAGACTGACACGACACGAAATGTGCACCTGCCGACATCCCAACGAAGTGGGCCATCGCCTGGGTCTGTCGTAAATAAATTATGAGGAGCATTGTCTTGTGGGGTCGTCATCGTCATCGTCGTCGTCATCGTCGAAATACCTGAGGTTGCCAGCACACATTTATGTGGCTGTGGCACGTTGACCCACCTCGCAGACAGTTGTGGCCCATCATCATTGCGGAACTTTCCAAATTCGCATCCAATTTGGTATGCCACATTGTTTTGCCAGAAATTCGCGTCGCAATTCGCACTTTATCATATCCATCATCATTCTAGTTGATTCGCATTAATATTCATATAAAGACCAGGTCAGAGATGTTCGGGAGGCTTATTGAAAAGTGCTTTTTAATTTAGAAGGTGCGAAAGGTGCTAAGTAAAAGCAAGTAAGTAATGGTTATATAAGTGGGTAATATTCTAGATCATAACTTTATAGACAACCTGAATAAAAATTTAAGAAAACAACCTTTTTTTCAGTTCTAAAAGAAAACACGCAAGTAAGTTAGGGTATTCACGGTTCACCAGTTGGATATTTTAACTTGCTATATAGTTCAAGCTTGTTTGGCTTTACATTACAGTCCCAGTTAGGCACACGTCATTAGCGTCATGTTTGTTATGCGATCTCCCAGAGATTTGGGCAAATTTTTGACGATTTCATCACGGTGGAGGTGAGTGCGAAGGGAGATCTTAATGAAGTTGCTCCAGTTTTCCGCAAATTGGAAGTTTATTTGAAGTGAATTACCGTATATTGCGAGTGGCCCAGACGAGTTGGCCAATTGCCAACCGGTTTTGGTAGGAATGCCCTTCTTCTTACCCGTCTGCCAGAATTTTTCAATTTTCTCCAACGAGAACGAGGAGGATCCTGCAAACGACCTTGTTTACGATATGTTAAAGGCTGTCTCAAGTCGTGCCCGCCACTCGGGCAATGCTCGAGTTGACTTTAAAGAGACGTTGCAGCCGGCTTGGCTCGTTTTGCCATCGCATCTAGACATCCAGACAAGACAGCCCCCCTAATGAAGACCACTCGAAAGCGCTGATGGGGAAGACTCCAAGTGCCTCCTCACTGGCCCCCCACAGTAGGGTGCTAAAAGAGGCAAAGCGAAGCCATAAACAGTCCCATGTCCACACAAAGATACACACAAAGTATCTACTGAATACTATCTACTGGATACACATTGAGCCATCAGGTCCGAGGGCAGAGAAAGGAAAGAAGAGAAAAGGATGGGTAGTCGGGATTGAGATTGGAACTGGGAACGGGAATAAAGTTGTCTCTGCTAATCCACGAATCGATTGAAAAGCCATGGCCCTGGCAGTGAAAGATGCAAGTCTGCCGGGATGCCAGAAAAACTAGTTTCCCATCTGAGGCTGAGGTTGAGGCCTTATCGAAGTCTCGAGTCTGTCACTATGTCGGTGCCAAGGCGCTTGGCGGAATTGTGTGAATAAACCGGAACTGACGCCACATTTGTGCACTGAGAAAAACTATTCTTACATTTTTGGCTCTTTTAAAATACCCCTTTTGTAAGCAATCAAACCATTTTATGTTTTTTGAGAGCAGAAAATACTTAAATCTGCATAATATCACATACATTTTCTGAATTTCCGCCGCTGTTTTCCTATCTGGACGATGTTGCACGATGCAACAATGTTTCAGCGAATAATAGTTCAAGGCGAAAGCTATAAAAATACATAGAAACCCACTCTCATGGCCCGGGGAGAATAGAAACCCTTGAGGGCGATTTCGTCACGGCACATTAACTCCAATCAATGGGCAGAGTACTCCTCACCGAGGGACCTACTAATTCGATTAAGTCGCCCGGCAGAGCAAAAATATATAGTCCGGGGCACCGATGACGGCGTTGCAATGTCGCTGACTTTGCCAAGTTAATTGCACTTAGCCGGGTTGCTTGCATGTGTATGTGTGTGTGGGGGGAAATGAAAAAGGGGAAAATGGGGGGAAAAAAGCTGCAAGAGATGCAAGTGCCACAAGTGCTGCGCTTAACGCTTCGCTCGGCATTAATTGCGACGTTTGATGTCTCTGATGCGTCTGGCGGTGACTGTCAACGGTCACACACCAATCTCACCATCTCCCAGACATCTTTCATTCATCTCGGATTAGCAGCCATTCATTGAACAGGAGGAGGCCTGATCCCAATGGTTTCGCTGATTTTACAACCCACTCCTGGGTGAGAGTTTTGGATCGTTAAGATAAGCTGGATTAAGAAAAGTGATAGCAGGTAGTCAGGTGCTTTCCATAGCTCCTTTCCATTTTGGGATTTCAGTAACTACTATTTCTACTACCATTTCTACTACTTTTTCCCATCTAAATCTGAATACTGATCTGCAGATCTCTATGGGTTATCACATCTCAGACCATGGTCAATCTGTTTTCTGGGAACCACTCAGCAATTTGTTCCTCAATTATGCATTCCCACACAAGCAGATATATGGGTATATATACTCCAAATCGCATGACAATTCAGAGCTCCATCTGCATAGACAGTGCGTTATGAGGCTATAAGGCTACATATCATATCTGAATATAAATCACAAAAGCATAGAATTTTATTCCTTGACATCAGCTTACATTGTTTCTTGATAATAATCTACTACTTTGTCATACATTCTCGTAACGCACTGTATGCATATAATTATTTATGCGATTGCAGTTCCTTGGTCAGTGATTCTGTGCCATATGTTCTGGACTTTTTTTTCAAACTATAAAGGGGAAATACAAACGTTCACTTGCATAAATTTCTCCTCCCGTTTTATTCTGTCTGTTGTGGCAGTTGCATTGAAAACAATTTATTTCCACATACAATGAGCATATACAGCAATTTATTTTGTGTCGCAAATTGGGGAAGGGGATTAGCGGAACCCCTTTTTCAATGCCCACTTGCTGTATGCGGAATCCCAGATACTTGCAGCTCGTAAAACTCAATTGATAGGGCTTCCCTCTGGGATTGGAGTTAATTCTGGCGTTGGTTAATTGATATGGAACCGAGTGTTATTGAAGAATGACCCGCGTTCTAACTGTTAAACAGGTGGTCGTGCGTGGGCGATTGCCACGCCCCCGGTGGAGTCCACTCCCCGAAAAACGTTTTGTTGTTTGTCAAAGCACTTCCTGTGCTGCCAGCGATCCACGAAACTCAAATGAAGTGAAACATTTGTGCCGCGAATTACAATCGACTTGCCCCCGGTCGGTGTCCCCTGCCCCCAACCGCACACCCTCTTTTTTTTAGTTACAGCCCGCATCTGCTGAACAGCCGAAACCCCCCTGCCCCATCTCATAACCAAACACTATCTCCACTCCTCCTCCCCGATGCAGTTATAATGAGTTGCAGTTGCAAGTTGCAAGTTGTGCGCACAGTTTTTCGTCTGGGGGACCAACGTCAATTCAAAACTGCGCACACAGAGAGAAAATATATGTTCTCTTTGGTTTTTGGAAATCAATCAATATGTTTATGTTCTTAATTAAGGCATAAAAATGAATTTGTATTAGCAGAAAAATAAACCAAATTTACCTATACTTTAGGATCAAGATTATTTTCCTCAGTGCATCGAGTTTATTATTCGGAGAAGGGGCAGGAGTCATGGCGTTGGGCAGTGAGGGAAGTCGAAGAACTTTCCGACTCTTCCGGGTTCTTTCCCTCCATCGGGGCTTCGCCTATATTTCGGTGTTTTCGTTCTGTATTGCACCTGCCGACTTATCGCGCATTATGCACACAGAGAGCGGACCAGAAAATTGTAAGCATGATTTTCTAATTTTTAGCCGATTCCCTTGTCTCGACTTTGCGGCTTTGCTTTTCTTCATTTTTATTTATTTCTTTCTTTTTTTTCGTTCAAAACAGTTTCAATTTGTTTTTGGGGCTAACTCCCCCAGTCTGTTTTGGGGTATCAAAGAAACAAGAACTAAAACCGAAAGGAGGCGGGGTTATAAAAAAAAGCAAGCGGACTGAGGGGCGTGCCTCCGCCTTATAGCGGTGCCAGCCGGCTATCACGAACATTGCTTTTGGGGATCGGGAATATTGGGTAACGGGTAACGGGTAACGGGGACCGGCACCCATCGGGAATATGCCCAATACTGGGCATCTGATATTGGGCAACAATAATACGAGTAGTCGGCGTAGCAGGAAGAATCAACCGACTGGATCGTTCATCGCTTTTGAAGTTTTAAAGTTTGCCTCTGGCGTTTTGTTGTTGTTGATTTAGACGCCGATGTTGTTGCTGTTTGGTTTAGTGCCGTATGCCATAAACAATTTTTTGGCGGCTTCTCAGTCAACGGCAACGGCACGCAAAAGTTTCGCTTTGCATTTTACTGGAAAGTTTTTTTCGAAAAGCAGATTGGGCAACAGTGAAAAAAGTAGGCAACTCCAAGAGCTTGAAAATACTTCAAATTCTGAGGACTACACTGGTCTACAAGAAAGGCTTTTAAATCTTATTGTGCGTAGGAAAACTTATACTTCATAAGAAAAGATTTCACCAGAAATTTGCATTTACAATCGGAAACCGTCACAAGTTTTATAAGAAAAGTCACCATATCTGGAAACACTTTCTGCATCTGAAAGACCGTATAAATCATGTTCGCGCTTTGTCTAAAAATAGTTTTAATAGGCAGTCAGCGATTGAAATGTTTTCCGCCAATGGAGTCTTTTGTGACAAATGTGCCGCACTTGATTTGTTTTAGATGTGCGGAACCTCTTGGAACCGAGGAACTGAGGGCGGAATATCGTTCGTTGGCCTGGTCCAAAAGCGAACCGGAATAGACCGGAATGTAATGGTGACTAGCACTTCTCTTTCCCACTCACATGCAGCGCTCTCTTTTTGTGAAACTCTCCGGCTTAATTAACAACTCATTGCGTTGGCAATTACGCCAACTACTAAAATTATTTGTCATATGACGGAGAAAGTCGAGATTGCGACTCCAGTGCTGCGGCTTGATCTCCATCAAATGAATACTTGGCCTATGGCAACTTGGTCTTTTTATATTTAACAGTTTGGATATCAAGAAAATGGCTCTTTACGACATGCCATAATACACATAGTTTTCATACCAATGCGAGTAAAAACAATGAGTGGTGTACTTCACGCTCCGCGAAGTTTTTCAGCGGCATGCGCCACACGACACTCTCCGCCTCCGAAAAGTGGGCAAAAGCGGCAGGCGGGACGGCGGTCTTGACCATTGACCAGCGCCGCTCAGAGTTGAGCTTGACTGGAGGCAATCCATAAAGCCGAGCCAAAGTAATGAGACCACACAGCGAGAAAATCAAAAGCTACCATTAAGATACATTTGTGATATGATAACAGTGTATATTTTTAGTACCAAAAATGTCTGGTAGATAAGCCAACCCCTTTTCGATATAAAAAATAATGCATTAAACACATTTGGTGGTGTTATCTTTTCTCTATAAGGCAAAGATAAACTCTATAAAAAGTTAAATAGGAAAACCATTATAAAATTGATAATATTTCCATGACACACCATAAAAAATCAGCTACAATATATCACTCTTACTTTAGATAATTTTCTCCTAGTGCATAAATCGCCAAAAGCGGCACAGACAAAGCGAATGGAAAGCATCTGGAGACGCCAGAATGTCTCGCCTGAGAGCCTCGCTCATTGTCAACGCGTGTCTCGAGAGCTTTGGCAAGGTTCCAGGCAGGGTTCCAGAACCGTTCTCTAAGGCAAGGCATAACCCTCTGAAACGCAATAACAGAATGCCCATTGTCTGGGGTAAGACGAGCTGAGGCTGCAGCCTGTGATTCTGCTCTGTTTGCCCTCGTTTATCGTGTTTCAAGGGTTTCCCTCCAAACCAAAACTGAAAACGAAGCAAATCTGGCCATTCAACTGACCTTGAAAACCCCCCAGACATGTGCTCGTATATGAGTCCGTTACTGATTTATAAACAATGCAAAATTTGAACAAGTTTTTTTTTGTTTGGCTGGGGTAGATGGAGTGGGGAGTGTCACAAAAAACAGGCTCAAATCAGTGGACTGTTCAATTTCGCACACTTTAAAAACTTGATTATCATAAATTATTGCCTTTGTTATTGAGAGACCCGCTAATCGGACATTTATATGCCGGCTATCAGGGGAAATACATAGAAAGTGCAGTGCTTATCTTTTGGCAAGCCAAAGTGGTAAGAAGTGCTAAAACAGGAAAGTGCTGATAACTCATATCGAGGAAAGGCCTGTGGGAAAGCGAAATGTGTCACACGCTGTGTGTGATTTTGTAGAAAAATCACAAGAACGGAGGCTTGTTTCTTACGACTCTCGGCGGAAACTGCTTTAATTGATGCTTAATTAACGCTTTCCTCAACTCACTCTCTATTATGCCATTCCCTCTCACCCACTCCAAGTAGCAAATTGTCGCATTATGGAGTAACGGTTGCAATGTCCGCTGCTTGATCAATCGGGGCTTATGAATATGGTAAACGCCACTTAAGCAGCCCATAATACACAGAAAAAATCTACGTTATACATTAATATCTAATATATGTAAAACGAAAAACTAAATAATCATTCAAAAGCGATTTAATGGCATAAAGCTATTTATATTATTTCTAAAAAACAAAGATAAAAGTGTACTTAATCGATTTTTGCTGAAGTTTTCTTTGTATCACGAACGCCAACACGTCACGTTGACCTCTATAACTTTTTTCCAGTGTGTCAAGTTGTGACTGCTTGACTGACTGACGGACTGACATTAAATTGCACTCTTCCTGATTGCTTCGTCGCTTCAAAATCGATTATCGGCGAAGTCATGCAACTGGAATTATATTCATCGCTTGCCACATACACATATACATATGCATACAAAGTCAACGCTGCATATGAATCGGACGACGTGGCTAGGATATGAAATCCGGAAGCCCCATGTCGAGCCGTCCTGACCTTTTTAATTTCAGCTAAAACACAAAGCCACACGACGCCAAGACATGAGGCTTGCCACTTTTGACCCACCCCAACCACCCCCTCTCTCAACCACCAGCCGATGTGGCTTCAACTTAAGACGCAGCTCATATTCGATAACCACTTTCTACCCGCCAATGACTTACAGTGGAGATTCAATAACCTTAACTTCCATATGGTGCAAGGAAAATTGGGGATGGTCTTATGGAAATCGATGTAAGCCGCATATGATTTTGTTTTCATTTTATAAAAATTGGTGCATTTTTATTGATCTTAAAACTAATTATGTCTTATTGAAGTTCTACTGTAGTTACTCACCCACGGAGTTGGAGTTGAAGGAGGAAAACTGTGCCAGCGGTTCAGGCTGCTGGAGTTTCGTTCGTTGATTCGCTCGTTTGCTGTTTTGTTTGTTTGTTTGTCGAATTGTTGTTTTTGTGGCTCAGTTGTTGTTATTACTGCTGTTCCTTTGGTGGGCGACGATGGAAATGTCAGAGGGTCGCGGCATTACGGCCACCCAGGGCATTCTCTTTTCGCTTATTTTTTCTTATTTCTCAACTCCGCCTCTGATAATTCTATTATTGCTCTCGCTCTCTTGGGGGGAGTGCAAAATAATGGATGGCAATTCGCGGACGGAAATTTGCGAATTTAGCGAGTCGCTACAATTTTGTGCAAATTGAATGCACAAACACTGGAGAAAGGGAGAGAAATTATCACCGGTGTTCTTGCTCTCCCACACGCACGCACACTAACACAAACGCACTCGCGCGAATTTTGATGACAGCTGCAACTGTAGAAAATGGATAGAATGAGTGATCACTCAAGGCCTTGTCCTGCCGTTTCCTCTCTCTCTCTCTTACTCTTTTCACTTCCTTTTGTTGTTCCGTTTACCTAACTCAACTGTTTATTTGTATTGCCAGGACTCCCAAACACACACACTGATACACAAGCAGACACGTACACCAACACCAACACTAGCGCTCTGCAGCTGAGTTTGGAGGAAAAATCGATGGTGAATCTGCAAATTAAAAGTCTATACCACACATCGATTAATTTGCCGCAAAAGCCTGTCGCTTTAATTTAGTTTTTCAGCTTTGTTTGGTGCAGTTTGAGAGCAAAAACAGACCTCAAGGCTTCGTTGAAAAACCCGTTCCGCGCACAGGAAAGTCGGAAAAACGAAAATCGAAAAGCGGCTAAGTAACTCGCGGAAAAACAACAAGTTCAAATATTAATTAAGTCGATTTATATTTACTAAAACATAATATAAGTCACTTCTTTTCTTTTTTTTTAAGTATCCATATATTTTGGATTTTTACGAAACAAACAAAAACACACTACCACTAGAATATTCTTTCCGGTTCCTTAATAAAAATCCCTTCGAACGTTGTTTTAAAGAAATTTCAGCGTTTCTTTAATAATATTTTTCAAGGAATGGAACCGAAAACAGCGCGCGCTGCAGCGCTCTCTCGAAAAATTACAGAGAGAATAAGGTGCGGGTTGCTTATATAGATTTTGAAATGTTTAGAGAAACCGCATCAATGTAACGTAAAAATACCAAAATCGGGGATTTCACCCCCTCATTACGTTAACAGCCTGGCAAGTCTCACTGTTAAGTCTCACCCGCTCTTATATTTATCTATTGGATGCCAAAAATATCTTATCTTTTTTTTATTTCTTTTAGACCAGTGGCAGGATAATTATACTAATTTGCTTTCAATAAATTGTTCAGAATTTCTTTAAACATTAAGTAAAACAAATTTAAACCGGTTTTTAGTAATTCATCATATTATTGGCGGGCAATTTTAAAAACCGAAAAAATACTAGAAAATATACTAATCGCATGCGGATTGCTGCGGTCATCTCTTATACTTAGTAAAATAAAAATTATCAAATAAAATAATGAATTTTAAAAAATAAAAGATTTATAAAAATTTGTTAAGTCAAATTTTTGTAAACAAATTTTAATTTAATGTTACAAAAAGTTAAAAATATTTGATTTCCATTTTTTGAAAACATCATGCCCCAATAGGTTCAGACTTTTATAAAGTGATTATTAAATCTTAAATTTTTATTTAATTAAAATAATTAAAATTCACGTTTTAATCTTTAAGTTCTTACAGCCTTTTCAAGTTATGAAATATTTCACAAATTTTAGGTTACATTTTCATGCGAAATTATAAATGAAATGTTCGGATCATGTGATGGGACCTATTTCATAATTCCATGATATAAAATAATTATTTATAGAAGGTATTATTAAATTGCATAATGATATTAATATATATTAATATTTAAAATTCAATTTAAAGTTTTGTGATATTATTAGTTAAAATCTCAACTATTTCACATGATTTTGAAATATTTTTAAGGTTACGTTTTACTATGAAATTATGTAACCATATAAACACGTGATTAATAGAAACATAAAAGGAATTTGGCTAAAAATAGCCAAATGACGTCACCTATTTAGTATGGTTGTATTAGTATTTGACTGATAAGCAAATGCAAATGTTTACAATGCGAAATTCGCGATAAGCTTGGCGCCAAAATCGCCTATAAAAGCTGAGCAACTAAATGCCGCAGAAGCCAGTCAAATTTGAGTGTTCAAGTGAAGCAGTTCCCGCAGCTGCATTAACAGTTACAGCAGTTAAATCCAGTCCAGAAGCAGCAGTAAATCAGAAAACAAGGTGTTGAGTGAATTTCTTATCGAGTCAGGTGTAAACTAGTGCGAAAATGTCGCAATCTGATAACGCAGCACGTGAGCAAACTGCGCCAATTTCGGTGCCCGAGGCATGTCAAGGCTGCCGCGGCCAATTGCCACGTTCTGCTCCCGTTGAAGTGGAGGACATGGCCACCCCGTCGCTGGAGAAACTCATTCGTAAGGCCAATATGGCCCAGAAAATGCTGAACGATGTGATGAAGCAAATCCAAAAGGAGCAGGAATCTCAGGTCGCCAACAAGGGGACCAAACCTAAGCACCGAAGTTCCGATGGAGGTAAAAAACGACACAGGGGACGTAAACATGGTCATCACTCTAGCTCATCTTCCAGTTCCAGTTCCGGCAATAGTGACTGCGAACTGATGGCGTCGGAGAAGGAGGAGATAATGCCCAGGAGAAGACATATTCGGGAAGATAGGAAACGGGATCGTTCTAGGTCCCGCGGCCGCTCCCGTGGTCACTCGCGTGGTCGTTCTCATGGACGTTCTCGTTCCAGGTCCTACACCGATTCCCGACGATCCCGAGCACTGCCCCTGGCTCTGCCCGTTCGGATTTCAGTGTGAGTATCTGGTTACATTCAGTATTATCCATTACCCATTTTAAATGTTAAGAGCACATAATAAAAATCTACAAAAAAATAAATAAAAAATGTATTATGAAATTTCTAAATTGCGTTTTAACTTATTTGTAACTTAAAAGACCAGAAAACAAATAGCGTCTATTGCTTACCAATATTTTCCCTGACTTTTCCCCTAAACATTTTACATAACTTAGCCAATAATGGTCCCAATATGGAATGTCAAATCTCGTTGAGTTTGTTTTCTAATTCCTAGTCGAACTTCATTCACAGATAAAAATGTCAAATTTCTTTCTTTATTTTTGGAAAAAAAGATGATTATACCCCTTATCGAAAATTTGACAATTGGTTATCTCAGATTTTCCTCTCCAAAAACCTAAATTTGGATCATAACAAAGTCATAAATGGTTGGAATAAGGAATCTGATACCTTGAAGAGCTTGTAATTGGAATTTAAATCCATTGGGATTAAAATTGAGAAATATTAATTTTTAATTTTTTCCAAAATTAGATCTTCGTATAAAAAATGTATATTTTTCTTACCTTTAAAAATCGGAAATGAAATTCAAATGTTTTATTATTTTTAAATATTTCTTATATTTTTTAAATGCCGTTTGTTTTTACATTAATAGTTTTTATTTTGTAGTTGTTGTGCTAATTATATGTTAAACATAAAAATTGTTTCTTCCTCTCGTATAAGTAATTGGTTTTGTTCTCGTTTTGATTGTGATCTATTAAGTTAATTTCTCTTTTGATTTGTAGACTTTGCTGTGAGGTTGCTCCTTGCAGTCGCAACTCGCTGTTGTTATAATAAATTCGTAAAATTCGATGTTAAATGTAATAAACCATTTCATTGCATTTCGTACAAATAAATTCATATAAAAACCGACTAAAATCGCTGCGGCATTAATGCCGCAATCGCTATATAAACAAAGAGTGCTGTTGGCTCGTGAATTTCCGTTTTCGTTTTTCTTTTTGTTTTTTGGATTTAATTTAAATGAGACAGAAAAGAATTTATGCTGTGGGCCCAATAAATTGCCCCAAGTGAACACCTTAATCTGCGACTTTATTTTGTGGATTCTGTGGCTCTAATTCGTATGTTCATATTTCATGGCTGCTATTTACTTGCTTTTCATGGCTTGCATTATTTATTGTTTACTCGTAATTTAAGAGAGCTTTGTCTAAAAACAAATTTTGGCACATGGTTTCCGAAATGGGTTCAATTCGTCCCTCTGCTACTCCGTCGACTTCTCCTTATCCATCTCATCGATTTTATTTGACTGTTTAATGGGGTTTCTTATGCTTTTGTAGGCTAGTTTAAAATACAGCTATGTACTCGTATTATTTTTTGGATTATTCGATACAAACTAAGAGTTATATTAATTTGTAGTTTGTTTGTCTGCTCCTAACTTGGCTTTCGTTTCATTCTGCTGCTGCTTGATTGAGTGTTGGTAATAATTCGAAATTTGATTACGACTTGTATTTGATTCTTCTACTCATTCATTTTCATTTTATTAATTCGCTTTTAAAAACATTTATCTACAACTCGACGAATGACAGTTTATTGTAATGGAAACACTAATGTGTGGTTACTGCGATATCATGTCATATTATCTATGATTACTGCTTTGATACTCAAATTCAGCTGGCGACATATTCGAGTGTGTGTGTGTACATCGGCTATATCGAATATATTTAGTTAACATTTTCATTGTGGCTTTACTTGGTTTCTCTGTGTGAGTCGAGTTTTTCTCTCAGTGGAGTCATGTCAGTCCTTTGAGGGTTTTACTTTTGATTATTTACAAAATATGATCAATACTCTACAATTATATTATGTGGATTTGCTAACAACTAAATGAGTATTCTTTCGATTGTATATATATCGGTATATATCCTATATACATGAGCACACGACTGTCTCATAACGTAGACACGTACACGGACACATATAAATATACATTCATATAAATTTGTACACAGCATATATCTGAGTTTTTGGTTTAGTTGAAATTTCAAGATTAAATTCCTCGTTTCATCGCCCTGGTGCACTACAAAAACCGAAACTTATGCAAAACTACTTTAGGAGTAGCTATGTAGGCCAAACACTCATTACTATTCGAGACATCAACACTTAGAAGATCATCCTTTCTACATACGATGAAAAACAGTTCGATTCGATTCGATACGATACGATAGTTTGCGATAGTTTTGCAGTTAGTAGTTTGAGTTACAGTTTCGAGTGATATACGCATTAGTCGTTTTGGATACTTAAGAGACTACATTAGTATATATACATACAACATTTCTGGAAGTTCGACAACTGACCTGGGTTCTTTCTGGACACATGCCATATTCATTCACATACAAGTGGGTATATATAGCATGCACAATCGTTAATACTTAAATGTAGTATGACCTCTATAAATACGGGCAGGAGTTTATAATGGGAAGTGTTTTGATTCGGTATGTTTTTGGTTTTTGGATGGTTGGTGCAAAAATTTTGATACTGATTGTCCGAAAGTTTACTGAGTGTTATTCATGTTCTTTTTTTGCGGGGGGCAGGAGGTTATTACTGGGTTTAGGGCTCTTCCGAAAGTGGTGGAGTGGAGGTTTGTCTTTGTTTTTGTTTCTTTTTCTGGGGGGTGGGTGGTAAGGTAACAAATGCATTATAAAAATGTACAAAAAACCGGCCCGGCTGCTGCTAAATTTCTGGCTATCAGGGGGCCTGGCCTCATCCTATCTGCTGATCTTGCGATCAGATCTTACCAATGTCTCAGACGGATATCGAATAATCCGATTTCTCGCTAAGCAATTTTTGGCCAGGAGCGGGTGAATGTTGTTGTTGGCGTTGCTGTTGCAGTGGCTGTTGTTGTTGTGGCTGCGGTGACTTTGAATGCGCTCGTTTGTGTGGTTGCTGTGGTGCCTGCTGCTGCTGCTGGTGGTGCTGTTGTTGCTGCTGGTGATGCTTCTGCTGCTGCTGTTGGTGCTCCTGCTGGAGCTGGGAGGTGGTGGACGAAGGTCGAGACCAAAGCGATGACCTCTGCCCCAGTTTCAACTTCTTAATCGTATCCACATCGACCTCAACCTCAGCCAGCTCAATCCGTTCGCCAAGGCCGCCGTCCTCGGTCCGATGGAAGGCGCCGGTGGTGCACTCGGCCTGCAGCTGGAGTGGATGCAGCGTGCGCAGGATGCCGGCCCTGGATGCGTGTTTTTATTTTTTGGGTTGGGAGGTTGGTGGGTGACGATCGTTGGGGGGTGAAGGGGGTGCAAGTACAAGAAAGGGTCCAGAGTTGGTTTTTTTCTGATTGCAACCACAGCATTCAAGCATTCATTCGGTTAAAGACCTAGTGGTGTAGTTCTAGTCTGGTTGTGTGGTTGGGTGTGCGTGGGTGGGCACAGATTTCATGAACTGGTTCATCAGCTGAGGTTTTTGGGAATTTTTAAGATATGAAGTTGATATAAATACTCTCAAAAGTTAAGTAAATTCAAAAATGATGTGCCTAAAAGTATGCTAAGCAATTTCTTGTTTAACCGGAAGTCCAATGCATGATAGCTAAAAGCTATATTTTCCCAGCATAATTCTAGCTCATTTCTTACGAAATGAAAACTTTACATTGGACAAAGATTATAACTTATATCTTTCAAGGAAAAGTTAAAAACCCTTTTCTCAGCTGATCAACCATGTCGCGAAAAAAGCCTTAACGGGCCCCCTCAGGGGGACCACACACCTCACCGTAGGCCAGGTCTCATGTCTGATCTATTGGGTCCATGTAGGTGCAGGAGATCTCGCCACTGTCATAGCCGAAACCGTCCATGGCCTCCATGGCACCACCAACATATTCACTCCCCCCATTGGCCGTATCCTATTTGGGCAGCGTTGGAGCTGTGAAGAACTTGGAGGAGAGCATGGCCGTCGAGGGGTTGAGCAACGTGCCCGGATGCTGCTGCTGTTGCTGCTGAGGATGTGGTTGCTGATGGTTGTGGTGGTGCGGTGGCTCATGCGCGGGCATTATGGACTTGTGAGGAATGGGTCGGAACTGTGAGGAGGGCGGCATGCAGGCTACCAACGGGCTATTACCGATCCCGTCCAATCCCAACAGCTCCTGGCCATTGGCCTCTAGCTGATGGAGCTTGGGCGTGATCAAGAGGGGCTGCTGTTGCTTCAAACTACTACTGTTTGGATTGGAGCTACTATGCTGGGAGTTACTACTACTCTGCAACTGCTGTTTGTGGAACTGTTTCTGCTGCTGTGTACTGATCGATGGCGACTTGACCAATGTGGGTATGTGGCATTGTATGGAGTCTTGCGATTTGAAGGTGCTCGATATGGATTTTAAATTTCCGCCGCGCGGCGATAAAATTTTGTTCGAATTGCTCGATGTCGATGGTGTGGCTGTCGTATTGGTGGCTGTGGTGTTCGTGTTGCTGGTGGTGTTGTTGTTCATTTTGTTGCTGTTGTGGTGGCGCGGTGTGGTATTGGTGGAAAACTGATATTGCTGATGATGATACCTGGAGCGACCGCGGCGGGGCAATGATTTCTGTTCGGACATTGGTGACAGATCGGAGGAGGTGCTTGATTGTGCTCCATGGTAGATGATGCCTGCGTTAAATGACAAATTAGCATTATCGCAACAGCGGATCAACGGATCAATGGTGGATCGCAGCGCAGGCGGAGATGTTAGTAGGGGAAGAAAAGAACAGAAAAATAAAGAGCGGGCTGATAGATAGTTTTCTTTTTTTTTTTTTTTTTTTTTTTGTCATTTTTGGCAAGGGAGCAATAATAATAATAATAAATAAGAAACGTCAAAAAAAACTTATCGCTAACTTAGCACTAACAATTACAAAATTGGGTGGCTTAGTCTTATTTGTTGGCCTGATCTTAGTAGTTGGTGTAGTTTTTGTGGTGCTGTGTCAGTTTGGCCTACTACAGATATGTTATCGAGATATTGTGGTTTGGAAAGTGTTGTATTAGTCTAGAGTCTGCAAAAACAAAGCAACATAAAAAGAGAGTTCAGCTGGCAGTTTACTTTAGCATAAAAGCCTGGGAACTGAGAACAGAAACGTTCTTCTGCAGTGAAAGCTTTCTCGAAATCTTGGTTATCAAATTTGATATAAATAAAAAATAAAACTAAATTGTAAATCGAAAGAAGTAGGAAAGCTTAAATATAATTATCTCAGAAATGTAAAAACTAATATGGTAATATTCGCATCCTTCGAGCTTTTACTGCAGATGGATACAAAAAAAGAGAGCTTAAACTTTTTTAATGATCTGAACAAAGGGCTCTGGTACAGCCCGTTTTAAGTTCATCCAATAAAATACATATATCCATTCCTGAACTTGAACTTACTGTGCTTGATCTTGCCCTCGTGCTGGTTGGAGGACTCGGTGCGACTGGAGGTCAATTGGTCCTGGTCCGATTCCGACTCCTCGCTCTCCGGCTCCGTCTTCCTTGAGTGGCGCCTCCGGTTCTTGGACTGCACATGGAACAGAGCATGAAATTAGTCTGGATCTGGATCACCCTGCGGGTATGTAGCATCTAGCGACTACAAAAGCGCCTGGGGATTGTACGCTTCTCGAACAAATGAAAGGGTAACTCAAGATTGGCAGGTGACATGTTTCCAGGGGCAGTCAGTACCCCCTTCGCATGATTTACGGCATTGCAATTAATGTGAACTGAAGGGCAAAAAAATACACGAGCAGAGAACAACATAAAAAGCACGTAGTACACTTAGGAAAACACTAAATGTGGCAGGACCACACAGATCAATGGAAGTAGAGAGAGAGAGAGAGCTAAATCAAAGAAATGAATAAACAAACGCACGATATTATGGAACGGTGAGGTCTGATAATAATTATGAATTGTCTTTAGTGGACGTTGGTGGTGGTGGTGGTGATGGGTGGTGGTTGGTGGGTTCAGTACCGCGGCTGGTGGTGGCGACGAGCAGCCCTCGGCCAAGGCCCGCTCGTGGTACATGAACGAGTGGAGCAGCGTGTTGGCCGGGCCGCCATGGTGCGGCTGTGACATGTTGCCCCCAGCCTCCGATAGCTGGAAGGTGGCATATGGCGAGATGTCCTCAGAGGTTTCTGTGGAAAAGTCCTCGGGCTGTTAGCGATGCTGATCGAGTGAATAGTATTAACAGGGTGTCACAGAAATCTCAAGGGCTATTCATGGAAGTTCTTTGCTAAAACTTTCCAAGAAATTAAAATTATTGTTTTGTACTAAATCTTTATTATATTGCAGAGAATTCTGTGGACCCCTTGTAAGCTGACTTACCTGGAATCTTATCATTGTTCTGCATGGACACCTTGTGAATGGTGGCATAATAGCGCTCCCGCTGGGCAGCTTCTGAGTTGGCACGATTCTCGAGTGATTCCTTCTGAATATTACTTTGCTCTGCGGGCGGTTGTGCATTTTTAAGCACTGAGTCAATTAGTGGATCACTGCAATTACTCAAATACGAACTGCTATACTTACTGTGTCTGTAGCAGACGATGACCATGATAATGGTGCATAACATTCCGGATATCGCTGCGATGGTTGGGATGAGCAGATTGATATTGGCGAATATGACAGTGGTTTGACCGCGATGTCCACGATGAATGATTTCCGGCGGTGGTGGATCTCCATCCTTGGTCAGGGTCACAAATGAGAAATCTGCCTGCGAGAGTCCAGCTACATTGTGTGCCTCCATGCGAAGTTGATAAAGGGTCGATGGTTGCAGGTTGTTGACCACCACACGACGCTGTGGCTTCAGGGCATTCGATACTGCAGCAGAAGGTTAAAAGCATATTAACGGTAGGCGTCATAATGAATGTGCTGTCGTGCGAACGGGACACACATAGTGTTCGTTAGCACGATCTTTATGGTAGAGTAAGGGAGAGGAATACATTGTGTGCTAAGATAAGTTAGTGTGACTGTTTCTTACACCTATTAGTGTGATCGCTTGTTAGCAAACTTGGCTTCCAATCTTGATGTTTAATTTGTAAAGGGATATATCATATCTCTGTACTTACCAAGCACCCATTCCGATTCCGGATCATCGGTAACCGCCCTGTACTGCAGGACAAAGTATAGAAGGGGACATCCATTGTCCGGCCAGGAGTGCAATCGAACCATAAGCGAGGTTGAGTTGGGTGCCAAGAGGGCAGTAGAAGCAGGATGACCCGGTGAATGACCCTGAGTGCGCACGTGCAGAATGGTGCTGGTTGGCGAGGTGCCCACCTTGTTTTGGGCACTGAGGTAGATCTGGTACGGGCTGCCACACACCAAGCCCTTAAGTTCATGACTCGAGGCATGCCGTGACAGCTGCATCTCGTCCGTGTTTCCATTAGCTCTCCGGTAGAACAACGTGTAACCGGTGATGGGTGCATTGCCCGTAAAGCCGCATTTCCAGTGCATCAGTATACTACTGGAGGTGGCACTCGTTATATACAAAGTCGGAGCTGTTGGTGGCACTTGGACCATAAGAACGTGCGTAAGTCGATCAGTGCCGATGCCATTGTCCACCTGGCAACTGTAGTTTCCTCCATCAGCCAGTTGCAAGCTGGAGATGATCAGATCTCCGCTGTCCAGCAGTTGAGAATTATGCATGCCACCCTGACGCAGTGCCACATCCGATTTGAACCACTCTCTTTTAGGTTTTCCCACCGCTGTGCAGGGTAAAGTCACTGTGGATCTCCAGGGTCTAACCACTGCACCACCGAAGGATATAATCCTTGCAGGCACACGATTTGTAGTGATCTGTGAGGATACTCGGGAACTTTTACCCTCACCCACTCGAGTACTCGCCGTCACCCAGAACTGATACTCCATATGCGGATGCAGACCCTTTGCTTCGTAATAAGCCTGCTGGGATGGAAGACTACGTTTCTCATTGTTCAGCTCCTCACGACCGTTCACCACTCGGGTGTACAGACTGAACTTGGTGATCACTCCATTGGGTTCGGTGGGTGGCAGCCAGGAGATGTATAAGGATTGCGATGAACTCGACACCACTTTAATATCCGCCGGAGCCTCCGGGACATCCTCTTCGCTGTGGCAAAACAATGGTTTCGATACGGCTCCGTCACCCATTCGCGTATGAGCCAGAACCTGAATACTGTAGTTGGTGTACTTTCGAAGTCCTGTCAGCACCATGGTAAGTGCCGTGGTTTTCCGTGACTCAACCTCATCCTTGCTTGGCTGAATGTCATCGATGATGGGCTCAAATATCAGCTTATATCCCTGGAGGAGGCCATTAGTATGGTAGATTGGCGGTGGTTGCCAGGACACCTGAAGCGATTGCGAGGATAAGGCGGCACAACGTACATCCTCCGGCGGGCGACTGGGAACTGTTGGAAATGTAAGTAAGTCGATAAAATTTTTAAAATTTAAAAAAAAAAACAAGAGGAAACGCTATAGTCGAGTGCCGCGACTATAAGATACCCGTTACTGTTTTACAAAATTTTAAAATATTATTTTGCTAGTGGAAATTCACAATGCGCCACCTATTGTCAGAGGAAGTATGTTGAGTATGCTTATAGTGACGTCACTGCCCATGTGAGGCTTATAACCTTAATTTCTTTATAAATAGCGAAATAATGTTTCAATTTGAAAAATCTTTGGTAAATCGATAGATATTAACAGAAATAAGTTACACAAGGTCAAACGAAGGCATTCATAATAATATTATAGACGCCACAGTTTTCCGCGGTTTGTAGGCGCTAGAGTGGGCGTGGCCGGATGCAACTTCGTGGCAAGTTGCAAAGACATCTCTTAAATACGTGTTCCTAAGCAAAATTGTGTAGCTTTTATAGTTTTCAAGATTTTTGCATTTTTGGTTTTTCGGGTTTTGTGGGCGTTAGAGTGGGCGTGGCTTAATCGGAAAGAACCAATTCGCATTGGGAGCATTTTAAAAACCTACATGCTTGATCCGAACTTTCTATCTCCTATAGTTACCGAGATATCAACTTTTCTAGAAAATCCGAAAACGGTCTTTTGAGCCTTGTGGGCGTATGGGTAGGTGTGGCCGGATAGTAGAACCACTTTAAGATGCGCTAGCATCTAAAGATTATAATTTCTGAATTTCAACTTTCTAGCTCCAATAGTTCGTGAGATTTCAGCAATTTTAGTTTTTTGCGATTTGTGGGCGTTAGAGTGGGCGTGGCAAGATGCTGTAATAAACTTGCGCTGTCCCGGGACCTCAAGAATCTTCATGCTTAATCTCAACTTTGTATCTGTTGTAGTTCCTGAGATCTCAGCGTTCATACGGACGGACGGACGGACGGACGGACGGACGGACGGACGGACGGACGGACGGACGGACAGACGGACATGGCTCAATCGACTTCGCTATTGATCCTGATCAAGAATATATATACTTTATAGGGTCGCAAACGCTTCCTTCTATCTGTTACATACTTTTCAACGAATCTAGTATACCCTTTTACTCTACGAGTAACGGGTATAAATACTGATTTAATAGAATTCCACTTACCATCCTCCATTGTCTGAGCAGCAGTGGGTTCCGAAAGGGGTCCTGGTCCAACTTGGTTAAAGGCCTGCACCACGACAGTATATCTAGCGAACTTTGCCAGTCCACTGAGTAGAAGCTCTCCATTACCGCCATCACCATCTCCCGAAACAGAAGTGAAGTTATAAGCCGTATTTCCCGAGCTTGACAACTTATAGCCCACATTATAGCCCTGAATATCACCATGTCGTAGTTCTGGTAAAGGAGCAACCCAACTTATGAGCAGCTCCGTGGAAGACAAAGGTCTGGCAGAAAGACTCAAGGGAGGTCCTGCTGGTCGCTGTGGTTCCGTGCGAACTACTAGCTCCTGACTAGGTGCACTTCGCCCAGCCGAACCCTCGGCAATCACCCGGAAGGCATAACGTGTCGCCGGCTTAAGATTCTCGATCATGGCATTAAAATGCGGCGGATCCTTGACCTCCATCTGCTGCCATTGCTCCACAAACAATGCTGGTGGGAGAGAACCTTATTAAGATGTAAGCTATATTAATTCTATAACTAAAATCCTATACGTACGATCTGCCTCGCGGAATTCCACTATGTACTTGGTTACATCGCCGGTGCCCAAGGTCTTAGGTTGCCACTTGATATTCACCGATCGACTGCTAATCATGGCCGCCTCCAGCACACTGGGTGGCAGTGGGGGCTCCTGTACCTGCAGTTGCACCAGCTGCTGATCATTTCCATAGAGATTGCTGGCCCTGCAGAAGTACGGACCACTATCGGTGGCATCTACAGTACGTATTTGCAACTCCGCGGATACTCCGTCCGGCGTGGCTTCCTGCTTCACCGAGATCCTAAAAGCGAATGCATCAAGATTACTTTCGTTGCCCAGGAAACCCGCCTCAGTGCACTCACTTGTAATTGGTTGATGGATTCAGGGTGTTCTTGCCCGAGCGCATCCAAACAATGTTAATCGGCTTGTCCCCACTAACGGCGCACTGCAGCAGCGCTGTGTCGCCCTTTTTCACCATTACGGAACGGGACGTGGAGGAGAAGTACGGCGATGCTGAAAATGGCGAACATTTTGCCCATTTTAATTACGGCGGTGATTCCTCCGGGGCCCTCAGCATTGCAATTAACCAAATTGCCACGGCAGCGCACCTCTCAGCTAAATACTTACAGTTCACTTTCAGCTGGATGACCTTTCCGATGCCGGTGCCGATGCCATTGTTGGCCTGGCACAGATAGAAGCCCTCGCGATCTTCCTTAACATGTTGCAGGAGCAGCGAACCATTGCCCAGGAGTTTAGTGAAAGGACGCTCGCGTACCTCCTCGTATTCTCCTGATTTACTGCCTGTTAAGAGTCATTTGAAGCCCCAGAAAATGTGGGTTAACTTGGTAAGGATATGTGTTTCTTTTTTTAAAATAGGTATTGTTAATCCTTACACCTTCCTAACTTTACCAAAACGTATCTTTTGCTAGTTGAATTATCTTACCTGTAGCCTTTTTCCACACTATACTGGGTGTGGGGACACCCTGCGCCTGGCAATGTAGCATAATGTGTCGATTTCGCTCCACATTCGCGTCGACGGGCTCGACAATCCAGCGAGGTGGCACTACGGGGCGTATGCGTGATATGAAGAGAAAGTTAGCTTACACGGAAAATATCTAGGAGCGTAGAACGAATGATTCAAAAGAAAACTGCTAAGACATACAGTAAAAGTAATGGTTCTTATAGAGAGAGAGAGATATAGAGAGATAGAGACAGAGACAGAGAGGAAAAGTGAAGATTTCTGGCAAAGTAAAAAACGGCATAAAAGAATTTTGTTGTTTACGATCTTAAGATTTTCATTGTGCCTAGCACAAATGTAAAAACTGTTTGAATAGTGGTAGCAATATAGTAGGAACTTTTCAACTAATATACAAAAGGATAGTTTGCTTTTTTTTTTTTTGGGTGGTTTGCTTCAAAATCAAATACAAAAAGAATTTTCATATGCAACTCAGTCAAAAATTGAACAAAAATTAATGTTTATTCTTTGATGTTTTTATGTTTTATGTTTGATGTTTAAGGAAAATCATTTAGGAATGTCCGTGGGGAAAATTAATTATTATAATTTGTTGGTGTGCAAGGATTTTATTTTTCATTTCGTTTCTCGTTTTATATTCAAATTGATCGCTTTCTCTTTTGTGTGTTTTTCTTTGATTCGCCCACGCTCTGTGCCTCACTGTTCGATGTTGGTTGTTTTGAAAAAATCGCAAAAAAGGCTTAATATGTTCTGGTATATTCGGCGCATAAATTAAATAACAAAGGCATGCCAGAAGCAAAATGGAAAATATATATTTGCATAGAAATTATAGAATGCGCAACATAAATGTGAACGTGGGTGTGAGCTTTATAGTTTGGACACGCAGCAGCAGCTAACAAAAACACCAAAAAAGCGAAACAATGAAATGGGATTTTAATAATAATAATAAAAAAAAAGATTGATCCCATTCCAGTGGATTGGAGCGTTTTCAATAAATTATAAACTGTTTACTTAGCAGCTGCATTTAATTGCCAGCCTTTGTTTGTGCACCAATAATGAAACGAAAAAAATATTAATTAAAAATTAAACCCGAACAAGGAGTAAATTATAGAGCACCAAATGAAATTAACAGCTGGCCCAGGGCTCACTATTAATTAAAATGATTTCTGGTTATTATGTTTTTTTTTGCTTTTTTCAAGGATTATTTTGCATAGTACAAAGCGTTTTTTTTGGATTGGGAGTTGGGTGACAGCGTGTCTAATTCGAATACGGAAAAAAATCTTTGCACACAACAACAGCAGCAGCGTCAGCCTGGGAAATGGAGCATTGGCAAAATAAATAAATTAAATTTTTGGGGAAAACTGTGCACGTCAAGCTCTTCGCTTGGCAAATGAAAATAAATATAATTGCCAACACCACCTCCCCCTTCAAAGGCTGGGCGGCTGACTGGCGAAATCGGGTGGAAAAAGCTTAACGGAGCAATTCTCTCTGTGTGTGTGAGAAGTAGAGGAGGAAAAACCGAAAAACCAAAAAAACGAATTAAAACCAGAGCTTAAGAACCGAGGAAAACGAAACGAAATGGAGAGCAAGCAAATCATAAATAAATGGAAATTAAAATTCATTTGTCACAGCACTACTACGCGCATGCAGATGGCACAGAGCAAACTAAAAAATTGCATCTCTACTATGTACAGTCGGCATGCTGAAACAAAAACGTCAGCCAGCTGGCCGCTTTTCTATTTAAAAAACATTCATTCTCAACTACATTAGCAAATACTGCGAAGCTTTAAGTTTCTTATCCATTTATTTTTCGGTCGGTTTTCCTTAATTTATTTTCTTTATTTTTCTTTGCGGTTTAATTCACTTTGCTCTGCAATAAGATTAGGTTTTAAGCGTTTTGTCAGTCACACGCACACACATACACACAGGCAATCAGGCAGACTCACACAAGCGAAAGGGGTTTGATACACCGAAAAAAATTGGTCTAGGAGCAAGTTAAGTACTTAGAGATTTGTTTAATAATTAGAAAACTTTTACTTTTACTTCAGTTTAATTTATGAAAATCTACATAGACTTGTAATTATATGAAATGAACTACAATCCCTTCTCATATTTTTTCGGTGTGGAAATATATTAAGCGATTAGAGAGGCCAAAACCAAATTGAAGCATAAGCGCGAGTTTCATAGCATCTTCGAAGGATTTTCAGGCGGAATCGTTTCCTTTTTTTCTTGCGAACTCATTCTTTTTGAGCGTTCGCCTTGTTTATTCGTTCGTTAATTAAGCACAGCACATTGAGCATAGTAGTAGATGAAGTGGAGTTTTCGGAAGCTGCAAGTCAAAAATGAAGAGAGGAGCCAAGGGTAACAAAGGAGCTTCTGCATTTATCCAGCAGACCGAGCAGCAGCAGCAGCAGCCCACTGGCCGGCAACCAAAAAAAGGTTATATATATATATATATATAGCGAATAAGGCAAATGAATCTTAAAGCAGCTTATTTTTCCATGTTTATGCAAGAGTATTTGTATAAATTATAATTTTACAGCTAATCACGAATGCGGTGCGCCCTCCAGAGCTCCAAGTTCCAAGTGAAAATGAAAGACCGCCAATTGAATTTCGCCCGGAGAGCGCACTTAATTTATGCATCTAAGCACCCGACTTGTCGTGTAAGAAGCGTTTTAAATAAATATGCAGCAAATCAAAAACGAGATATTCATAAGCTTTATATACGTAATTTGTTAGATTTTTGGTTACGAAGCGCATAAGAAGCAGTGCAGTTAAAACGGTTTACCTGGTGAGACGGTTGTCAAAAAAACCCACAGCGTGCCAAAGCGACTTAAGGGTGGCGGGGAACTCTTAATTGTAGATTAGTAGGGGTATTTTTTTTTTGTTTTTTGGGGGGTTTTTAAGCGGTACGTATTTATGGAGTTATGGGGAGTTTTTTTTTTCTTAGTGAGAGTCAAAAAATCAAAGCGCCTTCGGGCTGGGCAACGTTCAGTTACGCCGGAGCAACCAGAGAGCTCCAAAAAAGCTTGGTTAGCCCTATTTATATTTGTTGTTAAAAATCAACCAAAAAATATATCATCAACAAATGAAAATACCATTAAGAAGCTGTTCTTGAATACATCAGCGGGAAAGCAAAAAGTTATTGAGGGGCAAGTGAAGTTCGCTTAGTTTGTATGCGTGTGTGTTTTTGTTGGTAAGTGTGTGTGAAGAGAAATAATATCGCCATTTTTGGTAACTTTAACTTTGAACTATCTTTTAAGACTCTTATCTTTTCTATTATATATTAATTTACTTAAAATTCTTTGAACTTTTGTACTTTAAAGAAGTTATCCTAATCTGAGTTAGGTTACGAAAATATATTTCCGCGCATAAGTATGCAATATAATTACGTTATCCTTCTAACTTGTTTTGAAAAATTTGTATTGCATACTTACAGATAGTTCAGTAATTGATCAAGGGAAGCCTTGACTTTAAAATACTTTAATTTATAATTACTTTACATAACTAATGGCTTTGATATTTTTTGTGCCTTTCTCTTTGTGTGTCTGGTGTGTTTAATAGTGTTGATGGGTACGCTAGTACGCTACCTTTGACCTGCAACAGGGCCGTATACTTGATCTCGGCCGCCGGATTCTTGGCCACGCACGTGTACTCGCCGGAATGCGTGGCCGATAGCGATGGAATGCTCAGCAGAGAGCTGTACTGGTCTAGCATGGTGACATTGGCCCCCAAAAGATCGGGCAGCGGATCACCGTCCTTCAGCCAGATAAGCTTCAGCGGCGCATCGCCCCTGGAGACCCCGCAGACGGTCCTCGTCCGCATGCCCTCGGCCAAACCCTCCTGGAAGGCGAACGGTTCTATGCTCGGTGGTACTGCAAGAGGAAAGATCAGGCGAAATGGGTTAAGATTGACACTGGCGGACGGCGACACTTGAGCGGAGACACCTGGCGATTCATTCCCACGTTGAGTTAGTTTTGCTGATTGTAAATTTTTTATACTCTCTCTCTGTAAACCTTCGCAGATTTGTTAACACATTCGAATGAAAACGCTACTTAATCTTGTACAAACATTCCGAAAATGGAAACATCATTTACAAAGGATAGCAAGGATCATATATAGTTATATATATATAAAGGTATATGTATGTTTATGCAATTCAATGGTTCTGTGTTACATGGTACATGAATCAAAGTGCATACGAAAGGAAACTCAACTACTTGCAACTAAACGGGATTACGGATACTGGATTACTGGACTCAGACTCAAGTCACTCGTTATTTTTACCATTGACCAGCAGGGCCTGTGAGTTCTCCACCTCGGCGGCGGAATTTCGGACCACACAGGAATAGTTGCCAGTATGGTCGCTGCCCAGATTCTCGATGACCAGGATGCTGTTGTATTGGTCCACCTGTTTGACCGACATATGCTGGGTGGGATCGATGGGTCGGCCATCCTTGCGCCAGTTAATAGTCAGGGGTAGATCGCCCTTTACCACCGAGCAGGTGAGCGAGGCCCGATCGCCCATGTTCAGCTGCAGGATGTTCGTTTGGAAGGGACTGAGCTTCGGCGGCACTGCAAGGGATCAGCCAAGGATTGATGAGCCAAAAGGGAAGCGGAAGGAGCAATCAGTGCGACCGTTAAAAAGGTTGCGATTTATGAAAATTTAATCAGCACGGCGCTTCATTAGGGCGCGAATTCATTAACATTAACACTAATGAAAGAAAAGGGTACCGTTTGCTCTCCTTCAGCTTCCTTTTCTTGTTTTCTTTTCTTTTTTTTTTTAATTTACCAACTTTTAAGCTTAGATTATTGCGCATATTTAATTACAGCAAAAGCAAAAAAAATGTACATGTACACACCCGGCTGAGAGCCAAAACAAAACAAAATTAAGCAGAATCCGTAAAAAAAAGAAAAGGAAAATGGTATGCAAAAAGGTTGGCAAAAAGGAACAACTTGAAGCGCCATAGGAAACTACTTAGTTTGCTGTTAATAATTAAAATGCAATTTTCACTTCGTTTCGTAGCCCGCTGCTTGATGTCATCGCTGGGTGAAAAAGCTGTGAAAGAAACCAACCTCGACCTCCTCTTTTTTTGTTTGTTTTTCCTGGGTTTTCTTTTGGGTTTTTTAGTTTTTCATGTTTTTTGATAGACCCCAGCCTCACATACTAACCTATGACCGTCACCTCGCCACTCCGCCGGGCGCTGTGACCCTGTTTGTTCCTCGCCCAGCACGTATACACGCCGGAATCTGAGTTCTTCTGCACTGGGCTGATGGTCAGGGAGCCGTCCGGCTGAACACGCTGTCGTATATCATCTGGCAGCTCCCGTCCGCCACGCTCCCAATGGATCTCCTCGATGGGATAGCCAGCCACCGGGCACTTCAGATTCAATGTCTCGCCGGAGACGGCGGTTACCTTCGGAATCAGTCGAATATACGGAAGACCTGTGACAGAAACGGGTGAAAAAAGTTTAGGCGGTGAGTTAGAGAGGTTGGAACGCCAAGAGATATGGAGGAATGTAAATGCTTGACAGATTTGCGCGTACGTTGCTTTTTTAATAATGCAGTAAACAACTACACATACAAAGAGCAGAAAAGGGTATCACAAAGAGCAGATACGCTGAGAAAAAACATCACAAACTTTGAAAATATTAACTTTCCTAGTGGCTTGTATTAACCCTTCCGTTTTTAGTAATTTAAAATAGAAAATTCTATTGTTTTATAAGCCCTAAAAAAACACACTCAAATCCAATGGAATTTCTCCCCGTGCAGACAACAGGAAGCGGAGCACAATGTAATATGCATATCCTGGCTGGTTTCGTCCTGTCTCCTGTGCCCTCCGCCAAAACACTTTTCGGGAACGTGGAAGGAAATAATGCAGCAACTGTCGGTCGGTGGCAGCAGCTGAAGGAGCAGCATCTCCTCTGGCTGCCTTGTGGCCTGGGGTTTTTTCCTTTTTTCTGCGGAATATGCATAATTTTGCGAGCATGTCATACGTGGTCTCTGTGTCCGTGTTTTTCGGCGGAGTGGATGGAGATTTTTGTAATCACCGCCATTACCAAGTCGCGCAATCAGCGGCATCGCCAGGCTTTAAACTAAATGATGATGGTGGAAGCGGGATTCATTTTGTTCTTTACTTTTTTTTTTAGAGGCGGCAAACAATGTTTGCAGGGTATGCGGAAATTGTCAAAGGGCTTGAAAAGGAAGGAAGGTACGAACAGAGCTTGTGACACAGTTTTTTGTTTTTATTTGATTATCATACCAAATCACTTGGGTCTTTAACTTTGGCCCAAGGATAAGGCTTCGTTTGGTTTATTTGATTTGAGTGATAAATGTCGAACAGGGAAGAGATTTTCTCCCCCTGATTTTTCTTTCTTTCGTTTTTCATGTTCAGTCCACCAGCAGAGCATCGTTTAGTCGAGAACAGATTTTTCGTGAATTTACTTGACTTTATTTTTCAACTTTTTCACTGCAAAACTTTGTAAACATGGCGCAGTTTTTGCCGCCGCTGTCGTTTTGTGTTTGCACTCCTGCTCCTGCTTCTGTTCCTGCCAGTGCTCCTCCTTCTCCTCCTGCTCCTGAATCTTTCTCGCTGGCAACGCCATTTTGTTTGCCTGGCGACACAAAAATATTTGATTTCTTGCAAAAACAAGGCAGATGGTGCGCGTGCTGCTGGGAACTGAAAACTGGGTGGCTTTTCGGGTGGATTTTCGCTTTTTGGACTCGAGAGGAACACGGGGGGGACATGAGGGACTTTGTAAGGGGGGGAAAGCACTGCAGCCAAGCCGAGAGCCATGTTCAACAAAAGTGTGCGCCTCGAACAACACTTCACTGTGCTGCAAAGGCACAAAAGTAAACTTGTAGGGAGAACGGGAAGGGATGGCCCAAAGGATCTTTGGGGAAACGGCAAGAACATGGCAAACGTGTTGTAAAACAAAATCAAGCAAAAGTAGGCAAATGCCAGAAAGAAAGAGGAGCCAGCCTCGAGCATGGAGAACGTTTAAGTGCATATGTAAGTAGCTGGCCATATTTGTATCTGCACAGAGGGAAATTGGACAAGATAAGCCTATCGTTTTCTAAGAGATTCTAACTGAATCTCTGCTTAAATATCCTAAACGGTAGAAACTCTATAAACTATATCTAAGTACTTATGGATTTCAAAATTTAAACCAGCTAATAAACGTTTTTTTGTGATATTTTTTTCCATGTGCATCACTATGTCTGAGTGCTAGTTTTAAGTGTGAATACAACATACCATAAATATTCAAGCGGGCCGCATGTTGCACTCGTCCTGCACGATTTTCGGCGATGCAAGCGTACTCGCCACCATCCTCGACCATGACGTGGCTTATGTTAACATGACTAATTACATCGCCATGCACGGTGATGTATTGTCCGATCATAAATCTGAAATGGCAAAAAAGAGGATGGTTTTTGGATGAGAGCACAAAAAACACATTAATATTGGGTTGGTTGCGATTTTCAGCGGTTGCATGCGGCGTATGCGCAATGTGCGGGTGTTTTACAATTGTTTTCTTGTTTTTCAGCTGCTGCTGCTGCCGCTGCATATTTAAGCGTATCACACACACATATACACACACTCACAGACATTTACAAACCACTGCACTTGCATACTCATCAGCTAGGCACACTTCAAAAATGCAGTATGACCCAAATCCCTTTTGGCTGTAGGCTTCATTTTGTTTTTGTCGTATTTTTGCGCTAGATTTTCGCATTTTTCCGTAGTTTTTTTTTCTATTTTTCGTTGCCATATTTAGTCGTAATGAAGGCTGTCAGTCGAGCTGTCGGGGCTTAGCATAGTTTCCATATTGCTGTCAATGTCATGTGCCACGCCCACGAATACGACTTCCACTTAATGCGGCTGTTACGTTACGCCCGGGCTCAAATAATGAGAGGAAAAAAGGATTTCACGAAGCGCTCAAGTTGGCATTAAGTTCTGCGTTTGTTCCTTTGTTTGCCTCGCCTTCTTATTGCCACAGACATTAATTACAGGCAACATTGTTACGCATACGCCATGTGGCACTCACACAATCGGCTCTTGCGGCATCTTATATGCACGAGTATGTCTGTGTATGGTTGGTTGGGATTGCGATCTAAGCCAGCACACCCGCCGGCTCATTAGTTTGTGGCCCAGCTCGGTGGCAACTTTTCAATTGGCATTACGGCCGCAGTTGGATGGAAGTTGGAGTTGGAGTTGGAGCCAAGCCGGAACAATAATGGCGGAGGCAAAGTAATTACAATTTTAATTAACTTTTGCAGCAGCCGCATTCTGCGGCTAGAGGGGTGAAGGGATAATGGCGACGTGGGGCTTATGAATGCATAAGCCCGGCGAGCAAACGCTGATTTCCCCAGAAAGAGTGGCCAAGTCAAGCCGAAAAATCTTTATGGAGTGTGCCCAGGCTTGTAAAAACAGCAACTGTAGTTAAATGGAAATGGAGATGGTAAAAGGACGCAGTCTTTTTCTGAGAGCAAGACACACACACACACACACACACTGAGTCGTGGACTGCAGTCCGCAGAGCACTTGAGCGCATTGAAACAATGGCGAGGACAAAATTGCAACAAAGTCGCACACATCCGCATTCACATCCGCACATCGCCGGCTTAAACGTGGCATTGCAGAAGTTTAACTGCGTGTGTGTGTGTGTGTGTGTTTGGCAGTGTGTGGAGCGTAAAACGCTTTGGCTGCAACAATATAAACCTAATAGCTTGGCGCGGCTTTTGTGTGCTGTTTTAGCTGATTGCAGAGTGAGTGCCCGGCTCTGTGGGTGGCTTAATTCCAGCTAGCCAAAAAAAAAAAAAACAAGGAAAAACTAAAGGAAAAAACAGGAATAAGAATTTTGAGTGTAGGTGCCACTTGCAGTTTGCCAGCCTCTTAAGGGGCTCAGGCGAAAAGTTTCGTGGCGAAAGTTTACGAAAAATTATGAATTTCAATTTACGTGAATCGAGTTTGCACTTGGATCCCAATCAGGTTAGTTTGCAAGCTCAGATTAAGGGCACCTAGGTGAGGAACAGGGTGGACCTTGGTTGGCAATAAATAAATTACTTTTTTCATTAACTTGTTTTACCACAGAAATGTTCTTAGATCACCTTATATATTAGACTGTATTAATACATCCTGAAAATCTAATTAAAACCAAGGTTCACCCTAATTCACATGACATTGTGTTGGCTAAAAAGCGTTCCTGTTCCTCCTCTAGCTTAAGCGCTTTCTCATTTAGGCCAAAATTACACACATTTCCATAACGCCTGCAGTTGTAGACAAACGCATCACGCACACACGCCTCCGACGATGTCTTAGCAGCTCGACAGGAAAAGCGAGGGAAACCTGGCGGGAGGAAAAGCTCGAAGGAAGACGTCTCCTCAACTGGCTGGGCCTGAGTTTCTGGTACCGCCGCAGACAAACTTTTGAAAATGGCGTAAAATGAGCGTTTGAGTGTTGCGTTACCTCGTGCGCGCAATCATTTAATTTCCGCCTCGAGGCGTCTGCCCCCCAAACATTCCCCGCGCCCCACCCCAACAGGCTTTTCCCAGCATTTCCACCGACTCGTTGCCTGTTTGCCTGTCTGTCTGCCACTCCAACTTAAGTGTGTGTGTGTGTGTGTGCAGGAGTATGTCTGTGTATTAAATAAATACACTTACCAAGTTGATATACCTTTAAACCGAATAATGTAAACCACTTAAAACTTGGCAATAACAACGCAAACAGCAGGAGAATTTGTGCAGCATTGGGAAGGATGCTTGCTGGCTGGCAAATTAGGTTGCCAGCGACGCCAGGATAATGCCTGCGGGTATTATGTGTCAAAATTGTGTTGCTCAGATAACTTTTAAATTAAAGCCATCGGCATCTGCATGTCCGCACAAGTTTCCCAAAAGCAAATTTTCACACCGACCACATAACACACAAATTTTTGTAATCAATTTTGCCTTGTGGTCAAGCCATCTTCCTGGTCCTGGTCCTTTTTCCATCCTCCCCCATTCTAGAATGGTCAAGACTGAAGGACCCTGGGTGGAAAGGATTACCACTTGAGTGAAGCAAATTCATGGCAATGTCGTCGACAGCCCCAAGTTGCAACTTCAAGTGCTTTACATGCATAAAATCGAGTCATATTTTTATGAACTTTTAAATGGCTTGCGACTAATGGAGCCCGATGTCTTAGGGATCATGTCTATGGTTATTTAAGGACTTAAATTCGTTAGCTATAAGACATTTAATGATGCTCGGAACATATATTCTAGAAAGCTTATATTTATAGGGTAATCATTAAGAGGTATCAAATACTCTTTTCCCAAAATCTAATATCCCATCAACTTGATAGAATCTCATATCGGGCTCTCGACATATTGCATAAGTTTTAATTAAAATATAGCACAGCTGGTCGAGGCAGGACAACAATCAGGACACGGTTGCCTTAGTTTTCATTCCGGTCTGCCTCACTAAGCAAGAGCCAAAGCCAAAAAGCGAGTGCAAATAAAACGCTGCTGCTGATTTTCATGATGGTGCTCGGTATTTTTAATCAACAACAGAAGTCAACAGTGATGGGGGGCGTGGTGGAAAACTTTGACTTGCAAATCATTACAGACGTAACTCAAACAATTAGTGGCAGCTGCCAACGAACTGAAAATTAAGCAGAACTCCCCACAAAATAAAAAAAAAAGAAAAGAAAACAGTTTGCCAGCAGGTAGCAGGGAGGACGATAAAAACCAAATGAATGGCACTGACAATGTCGCCAGACCGAATTGCCAATCAATCGATTCTTTCGCTGTTGCATTTTATTTGCATCAAACACTGCCCAGAGAGCTGGAACCCAACTATCTGAATTCAATTTGATCCGATCTCTTCGATTTTATTCGGCCAATGCAAATGTCAATGTCATTAAAGAGCTGCCTGGGATTCAATTTAGTTGGCAATGTGCCAGCTAAAAATGCAATTAAATGCGTAAGGCTACTGCCGGGTTTTTGGCCGACCGGGCTTAATTAACAAATAGAAAGGCAAAGTCGAAACCTTGGACCAGACGGCAAACACAGATACAGATACACACGTACCTATCCGGATTCAGATTCTGATTCAGATACATTTACAGTCGCTGGATCAGGAGTGAATGAACGCTGAAGCAGACGAGGCCGACCCAAACCACCCACCTTTGTAGGCGCGGCAGTCGGCAGCCACTTTCTATATATGTATATGTTTTTCTATATATTCGTGAGGCAATGTTTTTGAAAGGAAAGCGCAGGGAAAAAAATATAAAAAATAAGGGGAAAAGCAGAAAGCACACACATATACACACACACAGACAGAACGAGTGCAATAAATGCAACCGCAGCCACAGTCAGGAGCCGCAGTTGAGATAAATTTTTGCTGGGAGCCCGCAGCGCCGCCTCTGCCGGTGCCATTGCCAAGCCCAACCCCCTCTTTTCCGGCCCCTCTTTTTCAACCTCTTTTTCAGCCCCTTCTTGCCCCCTTTCAACAAGTTCAATTACCTTCCGTTTGATGGCAGCGGAAATCCGTCCAGTGTCCATGAAATTTGCGGCGTAGGATTGCCGGCAGCGGAGCACTTGAGGCTCACAGCTGGTCCTGGCTGCAGGGTCTGCTCGATGAAGCTGTAGAGGAGTACAGGCGGCGCATCTGGGGAACAGAATGTGGTGGCAAGAGGTCACATTAATATTTAAGCCGTTAGCTAGTACAATTTACGGGAGATTATGTTGTTTTAAGGAATCAAGGACCTCGAAATGGGGTCCAAAGCATTTTGTATGTAAGGAACTTTGAGGTTATTATATAGTGTTAGAAAAATTAACTTTAGTTCAGTTTAGTTATGAGAAATTCAAAGAAAAGGTAATCTACTACCATTTTGATCCCCGAACTTTAATATTTTCAGAACTCACCTCCCAGCTGGAGCTCCGCGGTGGCCTGGAATGTATCGCCTTCGGGCCGTCGCACCACGCACTGGTACATGCCCCGGTTCTCGCGACTCACACGCGGCACCACCAGGGTGTCCTCCACGCGTCCCGACGATGGCAGTTGGCGGCCGTCCTTGTACCACAGGATATTCTGCATGCCCACAGGGCTGCCGTTACTGGTGACCAGGCACCGGAACTCCGCAGTGCCACCCATGTGAACGCTGAGGACATTCGGTGAGATTTCCACTTGAATGGGCGTGGCCACTGTCAGTCGGAGTTCGGCACTAGCCTCACCGCCCACATTGCCGGCCGTGCACTTGTAGACTCCGGAATCCTCACCAGTCACGGCCTCGATGGCCAGGATAGGGCCGAGCAAACGGACACGGGGACCACTTAGTACGGGCAGGGGTCCGGCTCCATTGTGGGTGAACCAGCTAAGGGGGAAGAGTAAGAATGAAATGAAAGATTTATGTGGATCAGACTATTGTAAATCGACTCCATTAATCGCGAATTTTCAATTGGAAAATTTAAAAAAAAAAAAAAAGGGGGAACGAACAGAGAAATTGTGGTTATTGCAAACTATTCCATTATTCAGTACAGTCTGAGGGAAAACCATTATGCAACCCAAAAAAAAAAAGAGAACTGAAAACTTCAGAATAAAGAATTTATTCTATAAAAGTAGTTAAATCTAATATTAAATAATACAAATCAAACTCAACACTTTTCAGAACATAAAATCACATTTTCGTTGGAAGTTAAAACTTGAAAATTGATTTTTAATGAGAAAAATCTAATTAATTTTCCCTCTGCATTTAAAATGTACATTTAACATTTATAATTGAAAAATTCTCTTTGTTATTTGAGCACAGAATACATTTCCAGACCGACTTTTATTAATGGAGCTTAGCTTTTGGGCAACTGCAGCTCATTTATCACGGACCATCTGGTCTACTCGAGCAAATCTAGCATCCGATGGCTGTCAAAGTTTTGCAGAGTATTAAAAGAGTATTTTTGCTGTAACTATCAGCCAGTGAAGCGAAGTTCAAGGCCTGATGGACTGACTACCTTTGGCATTCTTTATCCGCAATCTTCCCATCCTCAACCTGTCTATGTTGGCTGATGGTGCCTTTGTTTAATGTTGCATTAATCCTTTGCCTCGCTCATTATCCCTCTTCTGGTAGGACCCATCATCCCGCTCTGCTGTATTAATTATGAAATGGCTACAAGTTTTTTCTCCCCTGACACAGCAATCTATATAGATATATATATATATATATATATATGTGTGCACCCTAACATACCATCGCTTATAGATTCTTTTGTTTTCTGTCAGCAGAGTCTGACATTGTCCCTCGTTTTTTCCACCTCCCTCCTAAAACCCATCAGATCTAACATTACTTGTCTGCTTATCAAAGCGTAATTATGGTAGAATACACATATTTGCTGTCAGTGGGTTCGATGTGGCTGCAGAGACTTTCTATCCTTACTATATACACATCATTACCTAGGCCATTGTTTCTCAACAAGGGTGTACGTTACGCTGCATAACGCATACGACCCGTTGGCTGTCGAGAAAGTTAACTAACGCTTTTAGCTCACATTCCAATTAAGGCAACACATTACCAACTCTTTAGACACATTTTACAAAATAATGTGCACGTCAGCTAACAGTCTCTATGCCACATCGCTCTTATTTTGACCCCCAGAGCGGTTGTTTATTTATTTGGCTGGCAAACTAAATGCCCTGGCCGCACATTTTATAGATGTATGCGTTCCAATTAACTCACACCAACAGAGCATAACTGCCAGTGCACTGGGGAAAAGGATTTTAAGTTATGAATTTCAGATTTCCTAAAGATTTTATAGAAAAATGTTCATAGGTAATTCCTAAGACGAACGTCTTGAAAACTGTTTAGTTTTAAAAATTGAAAAGGCAACTTTTTTGGCACTTCAAGGATAATGACTTAAGATCCTTCAGTTTCCCCCAGTGCACTAATAACTAAGAGCCAAACGTTATAGTGTTTGTGCGGCCAGGACCTGTCAACGTCAAAAGTTTCGCCAGAAATGTGTGCTAAAGCTCTCCGCAAGCGAATGAGTTGGTGGGTGAGTGAGTGGGGGAGTCCTTTGTGGAGTGGGTATGCCAGTGGATGGCATCGATTTGCGGCACCTATACACACCTGTATTCGGGCGAAGGACAGCCCTGAGCGACGCACAGGAGCACCGCACCCTCGTCCTGCGACACCTGCACATGAGCCGTGTGCTCCACCACGCTCGGCGAAATGATGCCGCGATGCGCTGCGGCGAGAGATGATAGAGATGATGGAGATATATGTGACATTGGTGCGGTTCGTTTTGGCTGGGTTTTCTGGGTTTTCAGGTTTTGGGCATGGTTTTAGGTGGGAAATACTCACAATTAATACGCAGTCGAGTGGGCGAACTGACGACCACCTGGCGGGTGAGTCGATGCATGCTGCGGCAGCGGAAGGACTGCGACTCATCGCTCTCCTGCAGATTGTGGATGAGCAGCTCACCGGTGGGCAGCAAATGGAATTTGCCATCTGGGGGATAGACAAAAAAAATGGAAATAGTGATGAATATTCTACCCTTAAAGGAACTATTGTCAGAAACCAACTTGAAAACCAACCAAAACAGAAAATGTAACTAAAGTCTCAATAGAGACTCTTAACTGACATTCCTGCTGACAGGATTAATCAAGATGGATGCCTCTATTATGTCGCATGATGCTGATTTAAATCTTCCGCCAGACACTCTTGACCTTTCCGAATAGTTGACCCGCCACAAAAGCCGGGCAAAAAAAACGATGAATTTTGAAAAACGGGGAGAGAAAATGCTCTTTGTAATATAGACAACCAGGAGTGGCACCTCGTCGCTGGAGTTGGTTAGGTTTAAGGCAAAAGGCAAGCCAAAAGCTCGTCTCAAATTGCTAAAGGACAATGTTAATTATGCACCAAAGGACCGGAGAGAGTGGAGAGAGTGCAGGTGCGGATGAAAATGGCAGTTAAGCAGGCAAACATGTGAGGCAAATACTGCCAACAAACAATGCACTTTGTTGGCTTGCCTGGCACAGGGACAAGGATGCCGTCTGAGTTGAGCCTCGCTCTGTTTCGTTTCGTTTCCTTTCGGTTTCTGGCAGAAGGACGACAGTGCCCCCGGGTAACTTACCGCCTTGCAACGAGGGATAGATGTAGATAGCGGGTTCATGAACCCACGAGACCACTCGTACCAATTCCTTGACGAACGTGGGCACCACGCAGCGCAGAATGGCGGTGCATCCCCGCGCCGCAGATAGCACCTCCACATCCACTTTGTAGGCCTGTGCCACAACTGTAGAATTATATGTATACAATATTTGTTAAAATGCTGTCACATCTTCTTTATCCTGCTATAACCACTTACCCGCCCTCACTTGCACGTCCCGCGAAACGATGCGACCCACTGAATTGCTGGCGATGCACCGATAGATCGTGTTGTGCACATCCTGATGGTAGGCGGCTGCTGCAAATGGCATCAGGACCAGGGTTCCGTTCCGCAGAACCCTTCGTACGCCATGGATCTCGGTCACCGCCGAACCATCTGCGTGCACCCAGTCAACAGTCGGCTGTGGACTTCCGGAGGCTGAGCAATCCAGCCATCCGCCAGAAGAATTTGAGAACTCTACCCGACCCGGTGGTTCCATCACAAATCCAGGACCGCGCAGGTGGGCTTCGAACGGTTCACTGCAGGTGGTGTCTGGAATATGCAAAATTGTTATTAATACAAATTATTGGTAAAGATATAAATGGATCTTAATAATAATTTTGCACTGTTTATATTATATTGTAGCGGGACTAGTAGATGGTCACCTTAGTTATCGATATTAATTCGATAATCGATGTTAAGCTAAGATCAATTCATTCGTTTGTATTCGTTTCTTAATAGCGAGTTGAATGAACGAGAAGATTCTAAAGTTTAGTTCTAAAGTTTAGAACTAAAATTCATAATTGTCTCTTACAATATGTAAATATAAATCAAAATAAGACTATGATAGGTTATTTTCACAAAAGTTTCTCCTAAGTATTTCATGCATTCTTAAACATTTAATAGAGTTTCAGTATATAGAAGTTAAACGACAAAATCATTGTATTAAAAAAGACTCTTGATTCCATGAAGTTTAAATTCTTATCATTAAAAAACCATCTAAATCACTGAAAAACTTCTAAAGACCTAAATGCATAGAAAAAAGAATTTGGCAATGGCTGTTCTAGATTTTCTCTTGATTAAATGCATTTTACGGGCATAAAATATTTTACTGGCCCATACATCATTTAGAAACCGCATAAAAATGCAGGAGAACGTATTTTAAAATTGTGAGCTGCCATAAACAAAAGCAATAATCCCGGAGAGATATCAAAAATTCATAAAAGGCCGCTGGCTGGCCTTCTTGGGTGTGCAAATCCCTTGAGACCCTTTTGCACTTTAATAAGCATTTTACATATTTCATAATACCCATTGCCATTGTCGCATTCGAAGCCCGTTTTCGTTTCATCAGAGAGCCCTTTTCGCGAGCAAACAGATTTAGCCTTATCCCAAATTAGAATAACAATTTCGTCTTTAGCAGAGGCAGTCTTTTTCTTGTTCCCAAATGGCCCCCAGACCCAAATACATATATGCAGAGTAGTAAGAGGGTATATATATCCATCTATATATATATATGTATATATATATATATATATCTCCAAATTGACATTTCGCTTCATATTCCACATGAATGCGCCTTGGCTGTCTGTCTGCCACCGAAGCGGGCATCTTTCCCTGCGGCGCTGTGCAAATCCTTGCAACTCGTTCAATCTCCAGCATTCGTCCTGCCCAGGACCCTCAACCCCTTTTCCCCGTCCCTACAAGTCATTGTGTCTGCAATTAGAGTTGTTTTTTGTTGGTTTTGTTTTTTTCTCCTTTTTTTCCTGATTTTCTTTTTGTTTTTTGCCTTTCTGTGTTTTGTTCTTTTTGGCTTTGTACGCTTTTTGTTGTGCCTGGCCAGGCGCTTTTTGTTTTATGCTCGACAGCATGGATTTTTATGTAACTGCTTTCTGGTTTCGTCTCCGTCTGTCTCATCGCCTCGTTCTCCGAGATGCTTCCATTTCCCCCCGCAATCACCGTTGATTTCATAGCTCTCCATTGCTGCTCCAGCGGCAAGGATCACACGGGAAGAAAGAAAATTGCTATCGAAATTACCAGTAATAGTCTTTTTATCAGAAAAGTTGGTAATCACTAGCACGAAAGTTGAAATTCTTAAACTATTTTTATTAAAGGTATTCCAGTTCCTAATATTATTCAAGTATTAAAGAATATCTTTAAAATATTTGATATTTTTGGAACCAATATGCCAATGCCACTAAAAACCTTCAAGGATTATATTTAGTATTTAAGATAATGAAGTAATTTTCCATTCATTGATTAAAATACAAAATTTGCTAAAAATACAAATTCAAATTGCTTAGCTATTCTCTCTCATAATTATTTCCCCCGGTGTAGTCACAGCTCCTGGTCCAGGACATGGATAAAGACGAGGCCTCTGCCAGGCCATAAAATTATTGCAAGTATGTCTTGAGTATGCTTGGCACTCGTTTCTCATTTTTTCAGCTTTTTCGGTAGAAAGGGTATGTTTTACGAGTTTGTGCCTTAGAGCTGGCTTGGCTCCCATGTATGGTGTACGTGTATATAGGGATGTGGGATGTGGTTGGGTGCATGTGAGTCGGGATGTATACACATCCACTTGTAGGGGTTTTATTCTTTCCTGCGAAAACAAAAAGTCCACCCTATCCGTATTCCTGTGCGTGCGCTCTTCCTGAACGTCCATGCATGTATGCATGTGTGGGTGAGCTTTGTTCCGGGACTGGGATTTTTATTTTTATTTTTTTTTTGTTTTTTGTTGCCTGCTCAACTTGCTAGTCGGCCTATTGCAATGCTCAAATGAAGAAATCAAAAATCAAGGTACTACGTTGAAGGATTTGTGAGGTTCTTTTGAGTTGGGAAAACCAAAGCTTGGGAAAAATTCAGATTTTTAAAGCATTCAAAATTATGAAATTTAAATAATTCTTAAAGAATATATAAATTTATCCTTTCGTTAAGGAATATTTCACATTATAAGTAAAAGAATCCCTTAAATTCCAATTAAATTTGAATTTTATAACCAACCAAACTCAATATTGAATCTCACAGGCAAATGGTTATGCTAATGTGTTAATTTCCCAATGCTTTTATCTCTCTGTATTTACTTAGTAGAGAACAATTTGCATCGCCTTTATGACGATACAATTGAGGGTTCGCCAATCAATTTCGACAGCATAGTTTTGGCCAATGCAAAAGCGCATTTGGACTGTCTACATTTGCCACAAATTTCTTTTCCAAATTGTTTTCCCAGCTCGGTTTTTCTCTGATACCTGCAGCAGTCATGGAACTTTCGGTTCTACCTCTGCATGTGCAAATGCCCCTGGGTCCCTGGCCCCTTGTCATTTTCCCTGTACCGCCACAGGCAACCTCCTTCCTCCCTCTCTCTTTCTCTTTACCCCTTTTTTTTTTCTTCTTTTGGCTCGCATTTCCGCTCGTTTTGTGTCGTACATTTCACTCCTTTCACTCCGAATGTGTTTCCCATCCACTTGTGCGAATCTTGAGGGGTTACTTTGCCAAGCTTCTCAGACATTATGTGTGTGTGTGTGAGTGTGTTCTTTATTTCTTTTTTTTTCTACTTTTTCCCAGTTCTGTTTGGATTATGCCCTTTTGGCACTTTTCGAAATTATTTCGTTGCCTCTAGGCGAGCGGGCGTGATGCATGTTGTGTGGCTGCAATGTGTCTGCACTCTCCTGGCAATGCAGTGGTAATATTTCTAATGGCCCACGATCCAGGGACAGGCCAAGTCACCCATTAAAGCCACACAAAAAATAGGAAAAAATATTATATATATATATATGTTAGGTATAGAAAACGTGGCACTTTAAGACCAAGGAAAAAAATTCCCGGGTCTCAAGCGGAAATGGAGGACGAACCTTGTAAGCAATCAGCTTGAAAAATACAGGAAATTCAATTTTTATGCGCAAAAACAAGCGGCAGGAAGGCGTGACCCAAACACCCAAAGATATCGACTCAATATTGCTTGGCCAAAAAGAAAATAAAAGCAGAAACTTGAAAGAAGTTAAAACGTTTACAGACCAACGCGCAGCCCAACAACAACAGCAACAGCCACCAAACGAATAATAATTGTAAATAACTTGATTTTGTTGCTGCCTTGGCCGGAGTCCTAGTAAGATGTGCTGCTCCAGTTGGCCCGAAGTGCACACAGGACTTGGCTGGAATGGGGGCCAGGACGGGTTCAAGTCCAATAAGATGTTCGAAATCTTTTGTTGGCCGAATTGTTTTGCGAAACAAGAGCAAGGGAACTAAAATGGTATATATTGAAGATGTAGGAGTGAATTTTTTGGAAAAACCAAAGCGGTACACGTGGAAGTTTAACAGAGTTTGGAGTTTAAGATGTTTGTTCCTTTTTGTAAGATTGAGCTGGATAATTTGGGTAACTATTGTAATCATTTTAAAGAGTTTTAAAAGAATCTAAAACTGTAATATTTTTCAGAAATCTGAAGCAATCGCTTGGTTTTAAAAAGATAAAAAAAGGAGTAGCTTACAGAGATCGAAAATTGTTTTTGAAGATTTTAAGGAAGAGTTTTGACTATTTTCGGTCACTGAAACTTAAAATTAGTTTGGAAACGAAAATTCGTAATGCATCTTTATCAATTCTGTGAGTAAAAGTTATAAACTTAAACTTATAATATGACAGCTTTTTGCATTAATAATGCCAGCTACAGAAACTAAGGTTTCTGAACCATTTTGGCTTCTCAAAGTTTGATTGCCATCTGGTGAACATTTAATTTAAACTTTATCCCTTGCACTTCATTAATCCTACAACGAATTAAAGCGTTTGTCATAAACGGTTTAAAACATAATCAATCATAGTGTGCTGGAAACTTTGGCGTTGGCCATAATTTTTCATAATTTTACCATCACAATACCAAACCTTTTTTTCTCCCTCCCCCAGTTCGCCTTTAATCGGATTTGTGTTATCATGGGTGTTGTTGTTGTTGTTGTTGTTGTCGGTGCTGGTGATTTTATATAACGTATTATATTTTATGATTATCTGCATGGAAATGGAATAACAGCACCGAAAAATGTGAGCCATCTCTCACAACGCCCGAGTGAAAAGTGTGTGAGCTTAGACATTGAGCAACAATTTCATTTGCATATTTTTCATTTGCTCCCAGCTTCCAGCACCGACGAGGGTGCGAATATATATATATATATGGGTGAGTATGAAACATGAAATATCTGTGCGGCATTTTGATAATGTTTTTTTCCATTTTTTTTCTTTGGTAGGGAATAGACATGTAAGCCAGTCGCCATCGAATGCCGGAGCTAGGCAATGAAAATTGGAAAATATCAAATTTCCAAAAGAGGTTTTTACCCCGCACAAGGAGCCCGTCGGTTATGAAAAGGTCGGTGGGTCGATCGAGTGTTCTGCTCCTGACACATTTCATTAGGCTGTCCCGCACACACTTTCATAAATACAGAGAGAAAATGTCTTTACCATAAAAAGAGATTCAGTTCGGAAAAAGTCTACAAGCGAAGGTTGCAATCCCCACCTTTTAAAAGGAAATATTTTTACATATCATCATCATTGTTTTAAGAAAAAGTTTTGTGTTTCAAAATGAACTTAAAATATCAAGTTTAAGCTCTTAAAAAGATAGTTTTTTTCAGTGTAGACACATATAACGACGAGATGGGATAGTCGTTTGTGTGGCATAAATTGACGCCTGGTTTTTATCATAAGGCAATTTCATATTATGTACAGGCATTTCGGCTTTAGTTTTGCTGGCAATTTTATGGTCTCCGGTCCTGTGGCTGCTCCATAAAGCGACCAAGTCATTTGCACTTAGTTCTGGATGGTAGACACTCGTACTTCTCTACATATATCATAAATTATGGCACCTCCTCACTCGTATGAATCACCATAAATTCAGGTCTCTATGCGGCACTGAAGATTCTCTTTTGAATGATAATAAAGTGAGTAATTGCCTTGACTGAAGATAATCCCCTCGCCGCCCCCTCTCTCTCACTCTTTTTCCTTTCTTTTCCGCCTAAGCCGGCATGAATATCCCGCAAAAGCCCCGAAATCCTTTTGTTTTACTCGCAAGACTTAATAATAAGTTCCGTTTCGGAGGCGTTAACCGAGGGGAAGAACACCAAAAAAAAAGGGAAGGAAAAAAAGGAAAGAAAACACACCGACAGCTGTTGGGACTTTGGGTAAGAAAATCACACGCACTGCCGGTGGAAAAACAAAAAAGCACTAAGCATACTTTGCGGCGCGTGCCGAGCGACTTAGGAAAACCAAGAAGAGGCGCCTAAAATGCCGGCAGCCGGGCTTAAGAGTTTTTCCCGGAGAGATGTTGATGGTGGCACCTACCGAGATGGAGCAGCAGGAAAATCACAAAAAAGCGGCTACTAATCCACATGTTTTCCGGCTTCTGTTTTGATTCTGATTTGAATTTGAATTTGCTTTTGGATTTAAATTTTTTTTTTAATTTTATTTCTTTTGTTTGCTGGGTTTTCCTTTATTTTTTATTTTTAGCTGAGCTTAATTTCTTTTTCAGGAATTTCCTTGGGCAGTGACTTGTACAATTTTGATTTGGCTTTCACTTTTGAGCAGGTTTTACATTTCAGACACTTGACTCTTCTCTCATTCTTTGGCACATTTGTATCTTTAAGATTAATATTTTCTTTTTTCTTTTCACTCTGTTGATTTGGATGATTTTGTATGATTTTTTGGTGTTTTGTTATGTTTTTTTAGGGGACTGCATGACCCGGTGCCGGCACACTCTCCTAAACGAAATGAAGCACTCCCGCCAGGACAACCGACTGCCAGCAAGGACTCGACTTGACTGCGCGCCACCAAACCGTCGAATGGTCGTCGTTGGCCACGTTTAGGAGCTCTTACTAGAAAAGTAGGGACACCATTCGGCTCTCTTCCGGACTCTCTTTACGGCGGAAATTCACCACACGCGCACTCACTTTCGCACTCAGTCCCGTTGCATTTTCAAATCAACATCCGTCGTCCACCAGAGCCGTGCGTATCCTTCGAGCCTCGAACAGCAACTGCCGGATGCGGCGGCGACCATCAGCTCTTTCCTGACAGCTCCATTACATTACAATGTTCAGCGGTGCAGTTGGCAGCACCGCCATCGTTGGACACACTCTCGGCGCCTGCGCACCACCATTTGTTGTCTGTGGTTAGGCACGACCTTTTTCGAGCGCCTTTCGAACAGCTGTGTTTACACTGGACCATTTGGATGGTGGTGCTGCCTAGCTGGGTAATGGGTATAAAAGTGGGTGGCTGGGTGCTGCAGCCACATGCGTGAGTGCCGCCTAGCTCAATGTTTCAATTATTCCGTCCAGCTTCATCTTCGTTGGCATAGATTAGGCATCATAAACTCCCTGACGTTGATGACTTTTTCGTTTATGAGGGAATGGGTTAACAATCTCATTTACTTTCAATTAATAATGCTTACCATAAATTTGCTTTCAATTAATAACGAACGTCATTTGGCCAACTCTCTTTTTGGCAGCCCAGTTAATGGACTCAATATTTGCTCGCATAATTTACTTGGCATTATGCAAAGCAATTTCACACTTAAGTCCCTTCCTGCCAAAGCATAAATGTTGTCTACATTTTCGGTTTTTTATTTTTTTTTTGGCCATTTCTACTAATGAGCATCGGGGGAAATTATGGCCAACAAGGCGGGGTATTTACTCGCAACAGGAAAATGAGCCACAGCAACATCGCTGCCAGCCAGCTGCCAAGATTCATAATATTTAGACTAAAAGTGTGCTTTTCGAATGGTAAGCACTTAGAAAAAGTAACTCAGGTTATAGTATGTCTTTAAATCTATCTTAAAGTGTAGGAAAAATAAGTTACCTGGAAATTTCTGAAAATAAAATTAAAAATATTCCTTAAAAACCAAGAATAAAAATGTCTTGTTAAGTTAATAACTTTTTTACAATCTCTATTTATTTTTAATATTTTATTTTCAGTGCACAGATTTTTTGTGGACATTTAACGCTGGCCAATTCCTTGTTTTTAGGACGCGTGAATGCGTAAAAAGCGGCAAGGAGGCAAGGAGGCAACGGGAGGCAAAGGGGTGACTGGTGGCTTGGATCTGGTTTTGGCCCACATTAGGCGTGCCAAGGACAGTGGCCACCGCAGCCGCAGCCACAACAAAGGCAACAACAATAAAACATAAGCCAGAACGTGTTTGCCTGCCAAATTTATTTCGGACACGGTAGCATTTCCCACAGCAACGCCAATGGAACACCAAACACCAAACGCCAGCAAACAACAAACAACAAGGAACAGTAACCATATTCATGAGTTCTCTATGCCATTCTCTGTTTGTGTGTGTGTTAGTGTGTGATTGTGACGTGCATTTGTGAGCGTCATGGTGTCCGTAATGGTATTGGTGCTGGTACTGGTACTGGTGTCGCTGCTAATGACAACGGGACCGCGTTGCGCATCAACGAGCGACACCAAAAAGTCATTGACTCATTGAGTTTTGTCCCGGTGAGCGTTTGTGCATGTGTGCGTTAGCAGAAAGTTGAAGGGGAGAACCTTTAGATACCCTCACTGTGGGTGTTGTTACTTTTCAAGGATGCTTTGAGACTTTTGGGGTTTATGGTATAAAGTAGGGTGAGAGATTAACACTGCTAAGAATATTTTATACTATACTTATGATAGCCACACCTTATAACCTGCAAAAACTTTTCAGATCAAGGGTATTACCAACTTCGTTTTCCGAATCTTCAACTTCTACTACCCTTTACCGCCACACTCTTTGGCTCAAGCAGCGTTATCGTGTTTGTTTGTTGGTTGCCTGGTTGGCTGGCTGGCTGACAAACTGCCAAACTGACGAACTGACAAACTTGCAAACTAACAAACTGGCAAACTGACTGACTGCCAATGCGTGTCTGCACACGTTGGCAGCGTTAACAGGAGTAGAGTGTAAGTGCAGTCACCGGGCAGCAAAAACAACACCGCCGGCGTTCAGGGTACCGTCAACCGTTATGGCCACTGTTCATTTTGAGCCCACTTCGCCCCACTCTGTCATCATTAGATGTGGCCAGGTGGGATGGTAGATTGCTAAAATTGGTACACTGGTGAGTTGGTGTAGGTAGCACCAGGTGCCTTGGCACTTTCAACCACTCCGCACTGGCCACTGACCATTGCAACGTGCCAAAAAGCATCGGCATCTTCCCACTGGGGCTATAAATTTTAGGCCAGAAAAGTAACGTTTCGAGAAGTCTCCTTTAAAATTCTATTCTATTCAGTTCAGTTGGTCATTCGTTTCTTGGCTCACAATGCGGCCAAAGCATTGTTCGGATGCATTCAATGGTTGTTCGGTTCATATCCGATGCTGGCCACAGGTCACCGTTGGCCTGTCAACCCAATTCTATAAATCTACATAACAATTATGATGCTGGTAAGTATTAAAAACAATACCAACAATGGGGGAGTGCACAGAAATGAAAATGGTAGTTACTAGAAGGGTTTAGAAAGTTGAATCTCTTGAAATTTCTGTAGGAATTATTATACTTACTTATCAGCTAAGAAACTTCTTTAGCAAAGAACTTTATTTAAGAAACTTCTAGAACTTTCTAGGCAAGGTTAAAATATATTCTTTCTTTATACTCTTCTTCTCATTACCAGTTTTTCCCAGTTTGGGGATTATTTTTTAGCTGTGCATCTGCAAAACTATAGATTTGGCTCTGGCTATGGCTATGTAACTACAACTACGGGCTATTAACTATGCCGGCTGGCCATGTCCACCGACAAATTCTAACAATGCGTTGGCAGCTGGGCAAAAAGGAGGACTTATCTGCAGTGCGCGATGGTGTTGGTGCTATTGCTGTTGCTCTTGCAGTTGCAGTTGTTTAACGTGGCATTTATGCGCCTGTTTGCTCAACGTTTTGTATGTAGGTCAACATTTGCACGCTCTATGACTGACGTCAACATGGACCGGGAATGTCCTGCCCCAGCCCACAGACCACACCCCACCCATTATCCTGTTTTCAACCCCCAACCCTTGCCCGTTTCCGTTTCCCGTGTTTATGTTGTTGCCACACCTCTACACCTCCCGCCGCCCCCTTTTTCAGTGTGATTATTGTTTTTGTTGTTATGACAAACACCCACGATTCCTATGTAAAAGACAGCAGAAGCAGGAGCAGGAGCAGCAGCTGACCAGGCCCAAACCTGCCCTACACCATCATCGTATGAATTGTGCGTTATATACGGCCGATATATACATACTCCTCTCCTACATATACATACATACGTAGGCATCACTATTGATTTTCATTTTTGCGCGTTTTACAACAAGCTTTGTTGCATTTTATTTGCCCTGTCATTGACAGCAGTCGCCACATGGTGAATGTGAATGTGAATGTGAATGCAAGAGAGAGAGAGAGAGAGAGAGAGAGGGAGTGTGTGTGGGTGCTCCTCCTGCAGGCCGCCCCACTTTGGAAGCCCATCTTGTAGCATACTTTTTTGGGCGTTGTCCACTGCATTTTTAATTGGTATACAGCTGGCCGTGCGCGAACGAGCTCATGTGAGTTGAAATGCGACGACGGCAGCTGCACTTGAAAAACGCAATCGTCAACGCATTTTACATGTTTTTCAATTTCAACTGCAGCGTTTCTTACTTTTTTCCCCCCACATTTTCTTTTTTTTTTTCGCCGCAATTCCTTTGACAGCATGGCAAACGTCATTCGACATAATTGCAGCCTTGAGGCCTGCAGCAGGCATATTTTCATATATATTTTTTTTTACCCCAACCTCTCCGCTCGTTGATTGTTTATTGATTTTTGCCTGGCACTTGCATTTAGCATTTTTTAATGATTTTTTTTTTCTCATTTTTCCTCAACCATGTTGTTACTTCATTAAGCGAGATGTTTGGCAAAAATGTATCCATTTTTTTTTTTTTGAAAAATTTTCTTCAAGTGGTTGGCAGTACTTGAGAAAAGCTAAAAGCGGGGAAGTTCTGCATACATAGATGGGATAAGGAGTGATTTCAATCAACTGATGATAGAAGGGGTTGAGCTGCAGCACAAAGGGTATCATACATACATCATTACAATATTTACCCACACTTAACCCTTTCCATGGAGAAGACAAAACAAAGGCTGGATGGCAAGTCAGGAAGCGCATTTGCATGTAACACGTGAGCTTACAAAAGCCAAGTGACATTGTTTGGGCCACGGAGGGTCGTGGCACATAAATTAAAGTGAGAGTGTAAGTGTGTGTGGTACGAGAGGGTTGATGTTTGACACACACACACACACATATATCTTTCTAGGTAGTGGTAGTGGGGTATAGGTGGGGAAGACTCCTCAATTGCACCCTCACCGTGTTGACAGTCGGCAAATGGGTTGAGCCAGAAGATTGATATGACAAGCTCGAAACGATGACGACGGGAATGGGCTGCTGAATGACGATGATGAAGCCTGCACACGCCTCAGCGCACAAACAAATTATGCAAAATGCATTTGCAGCCGAACTCGAAGATGATGGCATTGTGTGTGCCAAACGTAGCACGTTAAATAATTAAAAGTTGTTGCAACAATCGCTTGAGATGGCTGCAACTTCAATGGTAAGAGTGGAAGGCAGGGAAAGAAGTCGAAATCGAAATATTAAATACACAAAAACTACTCTTCATTCATCTAGAAATAAAGATGATTAAAAAGAGTATTAGAAACTTCCTACTAATAATAAAAAAAAACGCAAAAAAAAAGATTCCAAAACGTGTAACAAACACCGAAAAGATAGGCAAATTACCCAATCGAAGAGTAAAACTAAACAGACTGAAAGAAAATATATTACCAGCTATCAAAAATAGATTGTTTTAAGATCGTTTTTGTCTCTATCAAACGGAAATTGCAATGGCAAACAATTTGCCAAGTAGTTGTTGAGCATTTCAGCTGAGACGACTCTAGCCGAATGTGGCAAAGTTTTCCAAAGTTTTCCTCTGAATTTCGGATTTCTATTGGCGTAGCGGAAATTGTGATGAAGAAGGCCAAAATAACATACACAAATGCACACTTTAAAATGA